TTCTATATGAACGAAGTGGAGGAGATTGGAAGATCGCACTTGTGGTTTCATCTGATAAAAGTATATCGAAATTATTCTTTAAAATGGTGAAGATTTTGGTAGTCGTAGGATGGTAAGTCAGGATGATGGGTATTCGATCAGCGTCAACATGCATACGGGGTTGTAGAGCTTCATCTTGAGTCATGTGCGCAATACGTTTTAAAGAATTATCAGTTATGTGAGTAGGATATCCTCTATCCTTGAAAAATGAGATCATTTCTGTAGCTCGTCGTTGAAAATCATCATGATCAGTACATATGCGTTTAAGACGGATATTTTGATTATAATTGATACGTTACATCATTTTCCATACATATACATAGACCTAACAATACTAATTTAAAATTATAACTTCTTAACTATACGTAGGCCTAAAACAATAATAATCTAAAATTATAACTTCTTAATTATACGTGAAAACAAATAACGACACTACGAATGGAGCCATAATATGTAGCGCCCCCAACTTGCGTGTTCGGCTTCTTCGGCGATCATAAATTTCTTGATTAAATGCATCCTATCAAAGATATTAGAATACATTTTCTAATCGGTAAGTTAGGCGTTCATAATACATGATATTAATAATCTAAATAGACAATATAATTTGTGTAATGTTCTATAGAGTAAATAATATTGTTCATCAAACTTGGGTACGGTTTGACCAATGATGGGTACGGTTTGATCAAAGATGGGTATGGGTTGACTAAAATTCTGGGTACGGGTTGACCAAAATTTGGGTACGGTTTGTGCGTACGGGTTGCATGGGTACGGTACCTAGGCGTAGAGGTAGGCATAGCCCTAAAAGGCCTGGGGGAGTCCTATGCCCTAGCTTTTACCTAGAGGCTGACTGTAGGGCCTCCAAGCCACGGGGATTCCCCCAAGTTCACCACGGCACTACTTAATTTATAATTTTGTTTTTTTATTTTTTATTAAACATAATTTAATTTTCTACAACAGCACAGTATGTAGTTTAATCACTAAATAAATTATTAAATCATTGTGTTAACTTTTCAAATAAAAGTGATATTAAGTAAAAAATAGGTGATGGTAATAGACTGATAAAGTAGCATAACAAAATCATGTAACAGAAAACGATATTATAAATAAAGCTTAATGCTAATTAATATAATAGAATATGATATAAAATAATATAGCATCATTGGCAATGGTAAAAAATACAACTATCTATGATCATGATAATAACAACGAGAGTACAGTATAATACAAATGAAACACAGCTATTGAAAAAAAGAGTATGATAAAGTTATTTCGAAGGAATAATCTGCTTAATAGTGTGAGAGGACTCCACAGTCTCGGTTCAGACCTTTGTTTATACAAATTTTTGAATCATTTTTTGTTGTTTGATCATTCTATCAAATCTGTTTTTGAAGATCATTTTCTGTAGCACTGCTACTTTGAGATCGCGTACTGTATGTTCTGGGAGGTTGAAATGTAGTCCAACAGGTTTGTCTTGCTGATGTCTTACTGTATATGAGATTTCATATTAATCCGTTTGTGTAGCGTTTGTTCTGTTTCCCCGATATGGTGTTCAGATATTTGAGGCATGATACAATATATTATATTATATGTGGTACAGGTGTGTCATCCCTTGATTATTAGCTGTTTGACATAATTTGCTTACTGCTAGGAACTGTCTGAGTGCCCATCAACAAGCTTCTTTACATCAAAATGTATCTCGTAACATGTATATTAAATCTTGTCATAATTTCAGATATACTTTGCTAGTAAAAGGCCCACCGATGAAGCCTGCTAAACAGTCTCGCTTTTCTACTCAGCTTTTGTACCTTTGTATCACTGCCCTAATTATAGGTGTGATAATAACACTATGGAATGTTCATGAGCTTCACGTTATGCAGAGGATACATATGAAGAACCAGCATTCAGAGATCTTTGAACCGCAGTCTCTGGTAGAAAGTAACAAACCCATATATTGGATCAATGCCAGACATGTAAGTAGTTCTTTGGCTACTGAATCCATATATTGAGTTATTCAACAATATATGGAAAATTATATGAAAATTCTATATAAATTTTTACATAGTTTCCATTATAAATTTTTTAACTTGAAAAGGGACATCTCAAGGCTGAAGCAATGATTTTCAAATTTAGTAAGTTTGGTTTACAATACTTTACAATGTATAACAAGGCAACTGGGAGCACCTCTGGGCGCATGTTCAGTACAGTTGCAGGGTCAGGTGTGTAGCAAGTCTTAGAAATTTGGCAGTAGATCAGATGGGGATGTTGTTTCCATTTGTAATTTAAGATATTAACGTCTGGTGAAGTTCTGATCTACATCAATCACTAAGGGCCTTTTCAAGCGAAAAAATGTCTGTGTGATTTACTATGTAATTCACCAGTACTTACATTTTAAAACTGCTCAAACTCTCGTCTAATTACCTTACCATCTAGATTTTCCGCAACAATTTTGACCACCAAATTGCTGAGTAGAATACCGTGTATGGGATGACCATCGAGCCGGAGGCGACAATAAATCAACATAATTGTTTTCCAAATATTTGTCCACAATCCAGCACGCGAAGTTCTATAGGGTTATGGACCAGGCTGGCAGCAGCTGTCTTCATGCTCTCCTTCTCCACCTCACTTGCACGACGAAATTAAATTTGGATTGGATACTAAATCCATCAACATAACATCACATCATTGTAGCCATAATGGTGGCTTGTAGCATAGCTACGCATTCGATCTGTAGATTTACCATTATTCAGAGAAACTATCTTGAATAAACTAGCGTGCGTGTGAATTTTTGTAAGCGTTTATATGTTGTTGAGCTTGGATGTTGTTCCCTCGTGCCGCGCTGTGGGGTACGTGCATGGGTTGAGTATAGCAGCAGTAGAAAGTAAACAAACAATGGATTGATGGGATAAGTGTTTCTCATTTGCATTTGATGACCTTTGAAGTTTTCTTCCTGAGTAGTCTCATAACACGGTATTTAATGTTAGTTAAACCTTGCTCAAATGGAGCTCAGTGCGATTTACCGGTAAATTTAACAGAATGGGGTTGGGATTTTTTGCTCGAACGAGCCTTAATTTTTTTTTATGCGAAAAGGTAAAAAATATATGCAAGTAGGATTGGACTATTATGAAATATTTTCTTGATAACTGTAGTTTTGTATGTGGTTTGCCAACAACGAAGTAATTTCTTGTACTGTGTTTTCACTTTCACAAGACCAATAAAAGTTCTGTATTCTGTTTTGTTTTTTGATTGTTAATAAATATTTAGCTGCATACTGGCTACCTAGACCATGTTATGGCTGTTTTTGATCGGATAGGCTACAGCAAAGGTGGACCAGACTCGGAATGGGATGTCTTATGGTCACATGACTATCCATTCACTGAACTCCAAGATAAGATATCCAAGATGAGGTCACACCAAAAGGTTGGACATATTTTATTCTTATATTTTTTTCAATTGCAAATAAAAATTAATAAAAATAACAATGCAATAAAAAGGTTGAAACCATGGACCTATTAATAAGACTCATAGGTCAATGAGGAAACAGAGTACAAATAGGTTCAATTTAATTTTACCAGTAATTAGTAATCGTCGAAGTAAAGGAAACTCAATTTAGTGTTGAAGAATTGCATACGGTATTAGTGGCAGAGGTTTACTTTAGAGCCTGATAAAAAATGGTTTAGATACTTTAAATAATCTCACATTCTGCAAATACACAACTAGAAATGGAGAAGGAACAGACTGGGCTCATAGGATTACAAAAAAAAACCAAACAAAAAACCCCTGAAAGAATTAAATCACTGATTTTCACAACATACTATTAAATCGTAGTGGATATCTTTCTTTCTTTATTCAATTTCAAATCCCTTACAAAAATTGCAATCACGTAAAAATATTTATAAAACATTTAACAAAATTTAAGGCAGGTAGGGATCAGGTAGCACAGACACAGACTCCATCAACCGCTAGCCCCCCCCCCCCCCCCCCCCCCAATACGCATAAAAAAAGAGATACAATACGCATAAAAAAGTTTAAGACCTTTTTTGTTTTTTTCGTTCATATTTGTTTCTTTTATTTTACCCATATCTGACTAGCATAGTCAAGTTTGCTCCTAACAATTGCACAATATAATGCTTTTAATGTAAATTGATCGCAATTATTAAAACAAGTCCTATGAATTTAACTTAACAACCAATTTGCTTTGCAGCATGTTTCCAAAATATGCGAATTAAAAGTTAAATCATTTGAAAAAATAACACCCAAGTTATAATTATATTAACTAATTGAAGAAGAATATTATTTAAGGAATACACAGGTGAAAATTCAATTCATTGATAATGGCAATGCATTTGCATGATCCGACATTATCTGGAACAAAAATAACATTGGCCTACAATACAATGGAACTGTCAGTTCCATATGAAGTAATTTACATTCAAGTGGCATTCATACAGTCTTAATAGAACCATCCAAAACACCAATTAATATCAGAACTGCTTTCATTATTAAATTATGTTAATAATACAAACCAAAATATTATTAACATAATTTAATAATAACAACAACATTTAAATTATGTTAATAATATGTCAGTTTGTATAATTTTATTAGTATTTTTAGAATGTGTGTGGTGTAATTAAATGAAGGGGCTACCTCTCAAGACTTGGAATAGGCCTAAGACTGTTTTCTTTGGCAGTCCACCAGTAGTATGCCTACTCAATGCATTAGGCAGGGACAAAAGCTATTCTGCATCATACTATCATGTGAGTTTGTGAGCATGCATCCACTTACCTGACCTGTTCTGAAAGCTTCACATTTAGAAAGCAAGAAAACACTGGGGGAAAACTACAAACATTTGAAGTTATTAACAAAAGATGAGAAACACCACAAAGTATCTCAAAGTTGTCTGAAATTACTTAAAATTTAGTTAAAAAAATAAGAGAAAAGCGCACAAACCTCAAAAGTTAAATTCCTAAATGACTTCCACAACAATTGATATTGAAAAAGAACCCCAAGATTTATGATCGTGATAATTTACAATTTTTTTTTTTCACAGGTGAACCATATTCCTGGCTCTGGATTTATAACAAACAAAGTAACTTTAGTTTTGTCTGATATCGAGTACATTCCAAAAGCCTTTCAAATGCCACAACAAAAGTTTTCTTTCAAACAATATGTAAGTCAGTGCTGGAACCTTTCTTTAAAATTTTATATGCAGAATTTTTGTTAAACATGTATTGTCCCCAGAAAATGACAAAAAAAAAATTGTAAAATATAACTTGAAATCAGCCTGCTCATTTTGCAGTGACATACACATTTTTAACATGAGCATAGAAATTATTGAATCTATATTATTGGTAAATACACTAATTCCTCTTTTTAATTTGATCATTTGTATGCTAATTCAAAATGAACAAGTTGATTTCAAAAATGATTTTTATAATTTTTTGGGGATATTTTCCATCTAAATTTATGAATATTAACTTATTACATCAGTGTTTGCATGGTGAAATAACAATTAATGTGTGGCTGTGTCGGACTAATTGTAGTATTTGCAGATCATTTAATGTTATTATGATAGCAGTTCCTAGAAACATTATGGTCTACAATCACAATTTTTACCATCCTGAACCATAATTTTTTTCTTGAACTAAGAGTTATAATCTAGGAACCCACCTGTAAAAAATCAAATGTTGAACTTTGTAGGCTCATCAAATTTAGGCCCTTTGTAGGCTCATCAAATTTAGGCCCTTTGTGGCAAGTTTCTGGGACCACAGAATAACTCAAACATATTTTGCACAAACTTTAACCTCAGTGAGCTCTTCTTGATAGATGGGACAACTATCATTATTCTCAATGTGTTAGCCCTCAAGACTTTTTAATCAGGTGTGAATAGATCCCCTACAGAGTGCTTTAAGGCAGTGGCTGTTAATTAGTCTCAAAAGCCCCATTCATATCCAACTATGGCGAGATAATTTTAGTGGATGAGCTAGAAGATCTCGCCATAAATTTGATTATGACCACTCAAGTATGGCGAGATGAAGGCCACTAAGCCCGTCGTGTAAATTTATGTCGACTAACTTCTTAATCCAGCCTAAAGCGAGTAAACAATTAAACAGCGGTAGGCAACAGGTCACGAATACACCAATCAAATTGAAGCAAAGTGACCTTCCATGCTTGCTGGTTAGCGTGTTTTTTAGTTACTATCATAAACACCATTCAGAATTGATGCAGTCTCCCTGATCTGTGTACTTTAATTTCAACAAGTCTTATTTTGCAAATGATGGCCGAAAAGTCAGTAAAGAAACGCCATCTCTGGACGTATGCGCAGGAATGTGACTTAATAGATATCTGGAGGGAGCCAGAAATCGCCGAAAATTTGAAGATAAATTGTACCGTCAGAAGGCTGGTGTCCACGAAAGGATAGCAGAGAGAACGCGGGACTTAGGCAACAATAGCATAACATCGGCAATTGTTGTGACAAAGTTGAAAAATCTAAGAGTAGACCACAAGGCTGTGAGAGGCGTTTTTATTCGTGGGACGGGCAAGGGGTCGGCCAATGTAAGGGATGACCCGAAATCGTCATGCCCACACTACCACGTGCTAAACGAAATACTTGGGCGAAAACCCAGTGTAAACCCTCCAGCTGGACTCCTCGGTCAGTCTAATCAACCGCTGAGACCTAGGCCTAGCTTACGCCTATAGTCTCGATCTAGCATAAACTAGTCGCGCGAAAATCAACAGTTATTAATGATGTGTTTTCCGAATTTCTGGTAGTCAACATATCTCGCTCTAACCTTAACGTCGAACGCGATTAGTGGATTTAATCCAATTAACTTGGCAAGTAGATCAGCTACTTCATCTGGCTATAATCCCATATGAACCTAGCTAAAGAAATTTTGTCTTTGTGTGTGAACTAGGCAGTGGTGTTATTAATCCACGATGCCTCCTCCATGGCATTATTAACGCTACCTGCAGACCCCAGATTAGTTAACGCCACGGCGATAACACCACAGTGATGCTTGAATGATTTTGACCAATCACAATTAGTTTTGCAATAGATTAGTTACTTTCCCGTGCTCTATATAATTGAAATGTTAAAGGGGTTAAAAAAAAAAATTTCTATTACATTTTACTTGGTTTACAATGTATATGATGTGTTGGTTGTGTTTTGTAAGATATTTTAATCTATTTAGATTGTCTATAAAACCTGCAACACCAAGAATTATATTACAATCTAGCTAAGAAATCTGAAGTGAAATTTTTCATTTAAAATACAGTAATAGTAGATGTTTTACTACGTAAACTAGTTTATCATTTTTTTTTTTATAGTTAAACATTGGTTCATTATTTAAAACCAAAAACTATTCCCCCATAGGCCTATATTACTATTACTAGTTTAACACAAGCGTTAATAATGATTGATTTCCTGATGATGACATAATTAATGTCGAAATATTGAATCCCAACACGATGGCGTGTATTTCAATACTTGGAGTATGTATTATACTTTCTTATCTGAGATTAATCAGTGGACCTTTCGGTTTTTCAGCGTTAATAATATTATAGTGAACGCCGTTCATGTGAACACTTTGGAATTTTAATCTGTGGATTAGCTTACGCTGGCGTAGGCTACTGTATGCCAGTCTTACGCGGTGTGTGAACATACCTTTCTTATTGAATATTATTGTCCTAATCTAATCCACACATAAAATAACATCCAATAACACCTCAAATGGTGTTAAAATCCCTAAATTTTATGGTAATGTAAAAAAAAGCCAATTCGTCATGTGGCTGTATCTGCGATATTAATTCAACTATTCTGTTTTCATCTGTTAGGTAAAGGAGCATCCTGAGAAATTATGGGTTCAGAAAAGCAATAACCATCGTGGTATACATGTAAGAAATGTGGAAGGTAGGAATTGCTTTTGAAATCTCATCTAAGTTTTCATTTTAGGAAGCCTCTTATACTTAGTTGATGCATATACCCATGGACCATGCATAGGGATTAGCATTATAAAGACCTATCGTCAGCAGTGCGTCATGCGTTCTTCTTGGAGCGTTTCATTTTGCTATAGACATGAGAACTTTTTAGTACCTTGCACGGCTGCCAGGCTGCCCACTATGCCTATGTACTAAACTAATAATGTTCTAAAGCTTAGTTACATTATCATTGGTTTACTCTCATAACCCAAAATGTGTGTGAATTAGGTAAACCTGTAAGAAATGCACACTATACACCCTTTTTGTTGTACCGCTATATGTTCTATTCCTTTTACTGTACTTTCATTCTAAATCAGGTTTAATTTACTCTAGAACAGGGATGGCCCTGGTTCAAAGTACCTCGGAGGCATTTCAGGCAGGCCGAATGTGGCTATTGTTTGATATTTTTTTTTTTTTCTAAATATTAGGTAATAACTCTGCAGTCATTGCAAATTTACCAACCAGCTTGTTTGTGTACTATGTTGCTCCCAAAGTCATATTGTAATTTAAAAACATAATTATTCATTATATTTGTTGTGGAGCATGTGCCGTTATTTTGTAGAAAGAAAGGTGGTGTTAGTATGTTTGCCATCCTGTTTGCCAAAATGTTAGTAAATAAACCCTTCTCATACACATGTGTACTCAGCACGTCTCCATTTGTTTATATTCCAACTTTCCACAGAAAATACATAGAGGGCAAGTTCATATATTCATTCTGGTTAAGTTTGAAAATTAAAACTGACATTGCAGCATTTCCCTGAATTGAGTAAAACTAACAAAAAGATAAGCTGAATACAAAAAGCAACATTCACAAAATTCAAAGAACAATAATCAACAATCTTATAATATATACGTGCAAACGTACAGTGGCATAACGCAGGGTTCCAAACCCCAGGGGCCCCAAAGAGGTCCTACCTATAGGATCGTCAATCTAGCACCCTGACCCAAAAGGGCTTTGTTGATACATGAAGCCATAATGTGTCTCTGATGAAAATTATTGCTATTAAAGTGCAGAGTAAACAACACAAGATTCTTTGCCAGCTTCTCCTTCATGAGTGCATGAGTGGGCATACCCAGATGTACTAATGAGGTAGACTGGCAATGAGAAATTATGGTTGTCATAATTTGGAGAGTTTTTACGAAGGAAAAACTTTGCACAAGTCCCATCCCCAAACAGCATGTGTAGTTTGAAATGCTTCTGTACTCTTGCCACATATAATGTTGGTTGGTGTGTGCCTTGTAAACACCATTCTAGTTTATTTTCAACTTGTCAATAAGTGAATTGGTACTGGTATGGGCATTTATATTGTGCCTTTTCCTTACGGTTATAAAGTGCACGCCAAATCTCATAGTTCAGGAAAAAACTCAAGGCAGCATGTAATACAGCATTAAACAGAAATCACAAGTGCCTCACAAAACAATTAACAAAAGCAAAACACAACACATGCAGTACAATAGACACAGCACTTGGAAAAAACAAACAATTGGAAATACTAGGCAGACAAGTGAGTCATGAGTGCCCATTTGAAAATATTGGGATCAGAAATGTCCATAAGCTCACTTGGAAGATTATTCCAGAGTCTGGCAGCGTGACAAGGAAATTGGGGGTTAGACAATTTTATCTGAAGAGTGTCACACCATGTGTGTGGTATGAAACTAAGTAGTAATAAAATGTCTGATCAAAGCTACCGCTGAACCTCGCTTTATATATATATATATATATATATATATAATGTATATATATAATAGAATATGTATAGTATTCAAGGTCTTTATTCAGATTTAGATAAAAAAAATTACAGACAGCCAGCCAAAAGGCTGTATATGAATGTATTACAAAAATAGCAACTGTATACAGTTAAAAAACACCAAAATTTAAGAAATTTACAATGAAAGTATTACAAAAATAGTTATACAGTTAAAAAAAACCCAAAATTAAAAAAATTTACAACATAAACAAAGAAAAAAAAAATATACATATATATATATATATATTTATAATTATATATAATAGAATATATAATAAATTATATATAATATAATATAAGTACATAATGTTATATGTGTAAAAGCATAGTTATCAGATCATATTTCATAATATCAATTAAATATTGGGGAAAAGGCTACAATGTACATATTTATTTTTTCAGTACGTAGATATGGTGCAATAGGGCGAGGGTTTGAATCTCAGATTATCTTGTTTTATATTGATAGAACTAGACTTCAGTGCAGATAACACATTCGTACAAGAATTTATTCAAAATCCGTACTTGGTTGATGGAAAAAAGTTTGATATAGGGATCTACACTGTGGTCGCATCTGTGGATCCTCTGAGGGTGTACTTCTACTCAGGTGACTGCCTTATACGTTACTGTGGCAAAGAGTATGTCATGGACAAATTCGATGATGTCAATACTTATGTGGTTACTGATGATTATACTCCAACTTGGAAGGTTAGATATTTCACTTTTTTATTACTATGGAAGTTGTAATCTTTCTAATAGACAGGTTTGGCCTTTGACCTTTTCTTATATATTTCTTTGTGTGTGTTTGTATAGACCAGGGTTGTAAACACAAGAACTGTACACATAATTTTACTGAGTCAAATTGATGCTGGTTAAGTAGTTTTTATATGGAGCCTTGGTTTTCAACATCAACTATGATAGGCCTTGTTTTGTAAAAATGATAGAATGCAATTAGCAAAGTGGGAAGGGTAGGAAATTAAAAATTAAAAAAAACTTCCAGCATTCCATCTCCGGAAAATTTGCAATAAGGAGTCCGATACCCCAAGAAAAGGGCCTATTAATATAAGGTAAATCCCCACAGTCCGGAGAGTCCATCAACCCTACTAAAAGGGACATTAAAAACAGGACAAGAACGCAAATTACTGGAATTAACATTAAGATCAAACAAAAGATCACAGCTAAAAGAGAAATTAAACACATTTATACTGAAGCAACATGTCATGTAATAAAAACCTGTATCTTAGGGGCCTGTTTCTGCTGCTTTTCCTAAAAATACGGTATTAAGTATACCATATAAAATGCGGTTTCTGAAATCCAATGCGCCGTTTCTGCTAAAAGTATTTTTTGGTGGTCTTGTTTAAAAGGTAGCTTTATTACCCAAAATGCCTTTCGTGAGACGGAAGTTTGGATTGACATGTGTAGTGAGTTTTCTTCTTCTCGATAAACATGGTTTCTTTAAAGAACGTTGTAATTTTGGTTTCATCTATTTTGACAAGCTGACAGAAAAATCAAAACACAACCAGTGTCTTGTTCTGTTGGCTCTTGACCTCATGTTAGGGGTCATACAAAATACGGTACTTTTATAGGTATTTTTGCAAAATACCGGAATAATTCCATAAAAATAATGGGGAAAAATACGGTATATTTTTATGAGCCCCATTTATGCTGCAAAGAAAAAATACTGTACATATACAGCATATTTGGCAGCAAAAACAGGCCCTTGGAGAAATTAAAGGACAAGGATAGTTGGAAAAAGATTTTTAATTTCTGTGAATAACTTTTGTTCTTGGAATGACAAAAAGAGGACACACATAAAATAATGAAAAGAAAAGTAATGGTTTGTATACTACAGTAGAACCTCTATTAAGGAGACCTCAACAGATCTATTATTAATGGAAAGCACAACAATTTGGAATGTAAAATAAGATCAATTTATAAATTATTGTTACTAGATTCATTCAGCCATGTTAATGACACATTGTATTTATTTTTTAAATATTGAGCTTTCTATTGGATGCACAAGATTTGTTTCTTATTTTATGACTACTGTTGTTGTTTTGATACAATAAAAAAATGTGTCCCCATCCCTGTAATTGGGGTGTCCTCTGGGGTTGGCCGTAGTTTTAAAAGATATATTTCCTCTTATTTAACAGAAAAGTGTCCCCTTAATAGGGGTGTCCCTGAATAGGGATGTCCCAGAGGAGGGCTTCTACTGTATTTCGACAAGCACAAGTTGGATTAGTCTTTGAACCTTCAGAATATAAATGAGAGTTAAAGCTACTAAAACCAAGTCTGATCCTTCTATGGATTTCATTAATATTTTGGATCCAGTATCATAATATTTAGTATTAACCTTCTTAAAAATAGGAATTGAAACAGAATTTTCTTATTTCATTGCTGAAGGTGTTTCAACTAGAGGTAACAGAGTATACAATGACAAATTATATAATTCAGTTCTGTAAATTAGAAGATATTTGCCATTATCCAAATTGTCAGTATTTCTCCATGAGGAATTACACTGGCTGACTCACACCAAGCATTCTGTTTCCTTTATATGGTCAATATGCTTAACAAACTTGGAGACATTTAGAGACAATCCCCAGTGCCCACTGCATGCAACAAAAAAGTTGAGATCTTCCTTGGCGTCCCCCTCGGAGCCGACAACAACTTCAGGTCATCAGCATACATAAGGCAGTAGGAGTTATTGACAAAATTAGGAAGGTCATTAATGAATAAATTAAAAAAGAGTGGACCCAGAATAGACCTTTGGGAGACACCTGCAGAAGGAACAGATTTCCAAACTGAACAAAACCATCAATAACTACACACTGACTGCGATTCAAAAAATAATTATTAACTTAAGAAGGGGACCATTAATGCCAATTTTCTTTATTCTGCAATGTGTTGTTTGTGAGAATGCAGTCAAAAAGCTTTGGAAAAATCGGTAAAATATGGTTAAAAAGAAATGAAGCAAGGAAACAAGGCTGTAATTAGTAATGAGCTTTAATGGGAACCTCTCCTCCTTGTGAACAGGACAAACATTTGCTTGCTTCCAAACATCAGAAAACCTAGTACCATCATAAATAGACCAATTTTTTAAAATTTTAATCATTAACCAAATCATATAATGTAAAGAATTATGAATTAATTTCATGGATTGATTTACTGATATTATATTTCTCTCACCCCTGCACATGGGCATGTGATGTTAAGTGTTAAACAAGTAATATTATGCAATGTAAAGTTGGCCTATAATGTTTAAATTTCAAGCTTTTTAGCAGGTCCCTCAATTACTCATTAGTTGGGTCCTTTTGTTTGTGGCCTTGCAAAATCCCACATCAGTGGTTGATGCAGGACTTGTTGTTTGCTGTTCAAACAACAAGGTTAAATGTTTATACTACAACTAGCTCCCAAAACAATCAGATGTTTAAAATTACTCTAGTATTTTTAAAGAATCATATGCATCCTTTGCAAGACAGAAAATGATGTACTATGAAGCCTACATGTTATCTATGAAAAACTAAACTAAATCAATATTGTGCCTTGAATTTATTGTTTATAAAGGAAAATTTACAAGTTGCTGTTAGGTTTTGCTTTATAAAGCATGGTGCTGAGACTAAAATTATAAAAATAACAACAGCTGCAGCAGCAACTTATTATTATTACATATTCCAGTTATATTTCTGAAGATTAATAAGTTCATAATATCAATTTACAATTTTCGCTGATGATACCATAATTATATTGTTATTCATTATTAGATGCCATCACTGCAGAAATACTACATTGATATGAAATTCTCACACAAGGAATCCCTGTATGCACACATGAGATCAGAAGGTAACGTTTCCCTGTTTAAATACATTTACTTAAAGTAATATCAAATAAAAAGTTAAATTTGAATTAATAAAAAATTAATAATTAGTAATTTGAATTACTAATTATACTATCAAATAAGTCAACTTCAGCAAAATGTTGACTTTAAGCCGGGAGCCTAGTCATTGTGGGCGACAGAGGCCACTTCCCAAGTCGCTCTGATATTTTTAGGTTTCTATGACTTATTTTAATGCATTTTTTGCATGTAAGTTTATGTAACATGATTTTACCCCAAAAAGCATACTTAATTTTAACTATGGTATTACTACTCAACATATTACAGTAAATACCAAACAAAACAAGCCAATTAAAATCAAAATATTTTTTTGGAAGTTTATTTTAACAAAACATAGACTGGCGATAGTGATGATAATATAAATGTCCCAATCACTTGGTTATTTATTTGTAAAAAAAAATATTTGAATTTGCTGGGGCCCTTTGAGGATCCAGGGCCTCTGGCTTTAGCCAGCGAGAGCTTATAGCTGTTACGCCACTTAATGCAAGTAGGACACTGCTCCAATAAAGTCCTATTATTTGCATACCTTTAATATTAAGAGGGAGCTGATCATGCTGGCAATTTTGCAGTTTTGGTATGTGTATGGACATTATTACATATTTTTCATATGGTGGAATCAGTACCCCCAATCAGCTTTAATAGGTGGCTCCTGTTCATGCTTGACCAGCGGAGAGCAATGAAATGACCACCGCATCCAGTTATACATCAGACTCTCTTCGATAGTTAAGATTTACCCAAACAACAACCCATGGACCACAAAAAAATATATAAGGCAACAAAAGAAGGAAGGCATTAAAAAATGGTGACATAAAGATAGGGCACAAAGATCAGAAAATTCATCTGAATAAGGAAATACTAAAAAGGAAAACATAACAGAATAAGTTGCAAATCTATTTTAGAACAAACTTTCACTCTTTTTGACTCTAGATTTAGATCCCACCAAAGTAGACAGGCAGATAGAAGATGCCATTCGGAAAGTTTTTCTTAGCAAGCTCCCACAACTAAGGCAATCATTGGAAAAGTACCAACATAAGAAGTAGGTCAAGAGTATCATATTTTTAGTCAAACTTTTATTGATTGAAAGTTAATAGTTCATAAAAAATTACATTTTAATGACTCTTTATTGTAATATCTGGGCAGTGTTTAGCCGATAAAATGCCTATTCGTTTACAAAGTATTGTTTTGATGATTAGTGAGGGTGCACTCCAACCTTAACTTTAAGGATAGGCAAATTAGTGTTTTAGGCAGCAGCATAAAAACTTCGTAATAGCCAGCAGCATAAACACTTCATAATAGCTAATATTTTTCTTTCTATTTATAGTATCTTCTTTGAGCTGACCCGGTTTGACTTTGTTCTTGATGAAGATTTAAATTTGTACTTGATGGAGGTAAAAATAATGTTTTATTAATGTAGTATCCAAAGTTAAACAAATGTAATCAAATTAATATAAGCCTATAACTAGAAATTGTAAATTGCAAGTGAAGTGCTGCGAAGTTCAACTGCATATATAGCTGATGTAGAAACATAGTAAAAACGAGCGTTGGTACCATGTATGCCAGTCTACAACAAGCCTCACCTAAATGTAATAATTAGCACGCTGAAATAGGGTAGTAAATAAGTTTAACTGGGTTCGTAAATAATATTGGCCTCAAAATATTTTGGCTGAGACATGGGCCGATTAAATGTAGAAATTGGAAACCTACTCGAGCGTCGCGACATGCGGACGTTGGTAAGTGTAGGTTAGTCTACAAACGTCGCCTAGAGTAATTGATTTTACCCGGCAGAACGAAAGAAGGAAACTCCGCTTTTCAGTCGTCTTAGGCCCTTGTTTTTTGACAAACAATGACCTTTCAGAGGTCAAATTGCTGTCAAGAATATGAATTGGCTGCTTCGCAGCAATAAATAATTCTTTACTTTACTGAGTGTACTATTAGCAGTCATAGAATATGTTCAGCAGAATTTTTAAAGTAATACTAGGAAAAGATCTTGTCAGATTGGTACTCTTTATTTAACATGAAATAGAGTTTTTATAGAAAAGAATGATCATAATTATGATTGCAATACATACTAACCAAGTATGTAAATGTTATGTGAATATAGATAAATATAAATCTTTATGTGAAACTAGCTACATACCGGTATTGTCATTCGGAATGGAGCAAGTGGCACATCTTAGTTGTTTTTAAAAATTTATACATCATATTCGGTAAATGTTAAATGTGGCAAAGACAAGCCAAACCAGTCACACGTCGCAAATCATGTTTAAGAGAAAATGGCCAAAACATGCTAAAATGTCAAATTTTAAAAAATCTATTTTTTTGCACTAAACTAACCTTTATATATCTTCACACCATTCTATGCTGTTATTTTCCCCATTTTCAATGTTAAAACAACACTTTTTAAGGATTTAAAGATAGTTTCTGCATGAGAAATGCCTGAAATCATAAACTTTAAAGGCTGAATTCTCATATATTGTTCTTTAAACAGCTGTGTGGTTAAACGCTTGTAACTTCATAAGGAAATGTCCGATTTGAATGATTTTTTTTTACCATTTCATAGCTATTATTTTACTCTCTAACACTGTATTAATAACACAAAATCAATTTTGCGACGAGTGACTGGTTTGGCTTGTCTTTGCCACAAATAAAGATTAAGCGCTTATAACTGAGATAGGCTTCAATACTGACAATGTATTTTAAATATATTTTCTATTTAAAAATATCAAAAATGATTTGTAATGGGTAATATATAAAGTATTACTTTTATCATACCAATTGGTAAATTACAAAGTGATGGCTTGCACTTAACACATTGAATGACATTTACAGAAAGTTGAATGAAGCAAGCAAGGACGTCTTATGTGTACATTAATGAGGCATAATAAAGTGCATTATTTAAATGAAGTTATCGATTCAAATAATCATTTAAATTATGCAATGATGAATCAATTATTAGATAATTTTATTAAATCTTTGTTGTATTATAAAAATGTAATATATAATACTTAAATTACATTTTTTAATATAATGATTATATTTATCTTTAAAATTTATTTAGTAATTATTTTGTAATTATAAAGATATGAAGTTGCGTCAGGAAATAATCGTAGGAGTGATGTTTTGCCCTACCTGATGTGATATCGTACCGAATACACAGTACGTCCCTAAATACTAAATACTCCTATATAAATTTTGTAATTGTTTCTTTGCAGGTCAACATGTCTCCTAACCTATCCACCGGTCATTTTGCTGCGAATAAACTTCTTTATCAACAAGTTATTTACAACACATTGAGTGTCGTAGATGTTGCACGGAACATTCCTGTTAGTTTGAAATTAAGGTAGTAATGCATTTGTTTATTGTCTTAATGTGTTCGATTGAACAAAGTTTGGTCAATTTAATAGCAAACTGAGCAAACCAGAAGAGTATACTTAAAGGAGTTTCACTATTAAAATTGTTGACTAATGTAGCTAAGTATTTAAGTCCGAGGCCACGACCGAGTGTAAACATTTTCTGAAGTTAAAAAAAAAGTTAAGAGACCTAGACAGAAAATAAATAGACAACCATGCTGGCTGGTAGTACCCGTTTGTAAAAAATGATCAGTGGCCAAGACAACTAATTAGTCTCTTAATTAGAGCGTATAAAGTCCTAGAAAACATTATCAATTAGGAAATTTTGAAATATTTAAATGAATGAATGAATTTCAAGTCATCAACATGGTTCTAGACAGGATAAATCTGTCAAACCAATACATGGGTAAAGATGTTGATGTTCTAATTTTGGATTTCCAAAGGGGAAACCAAGATTTTTACTAGTGTTAGCTAATGACATGAAGATGAGCCAAGGCTGCAAAGAAGGCCAACACTTCTCTAAAATAATTTAAGATAACTTTCAAGTACTGTTTGTACCATTACTTGATTATTTATATATTTCACCTTTAATACAATAACAGCTGTGATGTCTAGAGAATGCTTCAGTGCAGATCAACCCCACTTTGTGAGGGCATTTATCGGTTTTTTGAAAAAGTACCAGGCAACAGATAAAGAACTTTATTTGTTGATAGGCTATACCAAATATGATCTTTACATTATATATTCAAGCATGGTTTCTACCATTATTTTACTATTTATATTATATAATGTGTATCTTTTTTAGTACTGAAGACCAAGAATTAATGAGGGTGAGTTTGCGGGATATTCAGACAGATCCAGAGGCCTGCTCCAGTGAGGAATGCAAAGGCTGCCATGAAGTGGTATGTTTTTTTTTTTTTTGTTTTTTTTTGTGGAAATTGAATGTACCTGTCAGAGAACAATAATAGTAATTTTGTCTTGGCATATACAATTTTAAAATTATAGAGTAAATAATCAAATTTTAAAAAATTGTTTTAATCTTTGCATGCCACAAGATCTGTCAGTGTCTACATTACCTTTTCAGTGCTTATAATGTTATTGCTTGTAGAAATGTCAGCTGTGCAATCGTTGCTTGAATAATGAAGTAAGAAATGCCCTGTCTGATTCTTTCTTGGAGCATTTGAATCGACGACAGATGAAAAGAGTTTATCCAGAATCCCTAGTGAGTATTCAAAAGCATTTTAGACCTTATGCCTATATATGGCATACAACTATAAGCTGATCTCTGTGTTATCAATATCAAAAATTATCGAACGAGCAGTGCATGATCAAATAATAATAATATTTGTTAGAACATATACCCTCCTTAGATCAGTGGCACTCAGAAATCATTTTGTGCATTCAAAGTGAACCAAAATAAACAAGTTAAAATTCTTAGCTACAAGTATATTAAATAACAAAATTATTAAACAAAACATGAAATTTTTAAGTAAGGAAATAAAAACAAGTAATAGTGCTGCTGATGAGGCAGGTAGCTCCTCAAAAAACATGACAAGGGAATACAAATGCAAGAACAACATACTTCACTTGTCACTAATTTTGAAGGGCCATCTGTACCATCAATCAACTCTATGATAAATTATGGGTAAACAAATTTAATTAACTATAAATTAATTGGTAATACAGATACAGTACTTAATATACGACAAGGTTTGTAAATGCTTAAGTTCAGGTCTTTTTCTCCACGCTCGTTTTCCATAAATTTTTAAAAATTCACCAAAGCTTTTCTCATTAATGTTAATAAGCATTCAAAATTTGATCCTAAACATCATTATTATGAACTATTTAATTTACATTCAAGTTTACGAATGTTTAGCAGAGTGGGACAAGTAAATAGAAAGTGTCTTAAGTCTTCATTATTTGTGTTGCCAAGAGTACATATGACATTCTTATCCTCAGACCATCGAGAAACTGTACTATTAAGGGGCGATGTATTAGAGCAAAGTTTAAATTTCAATGTCACACCTTCAAAATCTAAGCTATCTAATAAATAATTGGTGATAGCACACATCCTTATTTAATTAATTGGTTAATTTCAAAGAAATCTTCCAATTTCACCAAAGCTTACGGTGTATATTACGGTACACTTCATTATATAACTTATCAGTCTCCATGCCCGACAACCAGATTATTGATAATCTGTCTCGCCAAAATATTTTTGCAAATATTGGTATAATAATACTTTTGTTCCATTCGTGAGGAAATTGCTCAAGCTCAATGCATTTTTAAAAATAAATTAAAAGATGTATTGTCCCTTGCTAATGTCAAAAAATCATAAAAAATAATTTTGAAATAAACTTGCTCATAATGAAATAGCATACAAATTATTAACTTGTGCATAAAAATTATTGAATTTATAAAGTGTTTACCCTGATTTGTAAACAAAAATTATAATAAAAATAATAAAACATTTCCAGTGACTTAAGTGTTTCTATCATTTATCGCTGTAAACTGATGGGTAGACATTTTTTAAATACACTAATTTCTATGTTTAAGTTGATAACTTTTATGTTACTTCAAAATGGGCAAGTTAATTTCAAAAAATATTTTTATGATTTTTTTGGTATTTAGCAAGGGACAATACATCTTCAAATAGGGAAAGTGTAATTTCCACCATTTTCAACATTGACCACCATTTTTTAATAAATCATTTGTTATTCTATCAAAGACCAGGGCTTAGCAAGGGTAATTGCATCTTCAACAATATTAATATCAAGTAGAATATTATATAAGAAATTTTGATCAGTATCGTCTAAACAAGGATCTTTAGCATAGTTACCAACCGCCTTGCATCGTGCGGGACGGTCCCGCATTTCAAAGTGATTTTGGTTGAAACACGCATTTTGCAAAAACACATGCATGATCATAAATTTGTCACGCATATAGTACAGGTCTATACGTGATAACGAATTATCACAAATTCAGGTGAAAATGTATTCAAAATTCTGATCTACTCTAATTCTAATCTGAACTTCCTTCTTAGGATCTTACATTTACATTACATTCTATATTAATGAATGTAATTTAGCTAAAGCTTTGTCTACACTATCAAATTTCATTAAAAAAAAAAACGTCACATAAAATGTGATGGAACATGTTAAATCTTTTTTATATACTTTGATAATATGTGATATGATGTCATTGTACCCATATATGCGCACATCACATTTTTTTGTCACATAAAATTTGATAGTGTAGACAAAGCTTTAGAGTGTGCACCACTACTAAAATTATTATAAGATTTAAAATTAAAACTCATTCTTTGTCTTCCTCATTGTATCAGTACCGCATTCCTCTGCCTTTGTTATCACTCTGAGCATGCTTCAGTCTTGCAGTGGTTTGTCTTTATACGCACGGAAGTCACATGGTCACCACCAGTTCAGGGTTCCCGATTGTGTCTATTCTAAAATGTTCAACATTAAAAAATAAGTGCTTTACTCATAGATATAAATGGTAGGATTGATTGCTATGACATTTTGATTTCATCTGTCCTCTAGACTCGAGATGAAAGTATGAGGTATCAGGATGCTCTGGATGATGGGTTACCAACTAACGACAAACTTCTGAGGAAATGGTATCGTTCAAAATGTATCCAAGAAGAGTCATGGTGCTACTAAATGCAAACAGTCACACCTCAATCTTTCAAATTCATTTGTATTGTTAATCCGTTACTTAACAGTGTTTTTGTATGTATATTTTGAACTTTTGAAATTTTATGGTACAGAATTCTAAATGCACATGAATTTTGGCTGCAAGTCCACAAGATGTGGATTGTTTTGGTGTCCTTTTTGAAATAAAAATATACATATGTAGATTGACATTGTCCGAACATAATTTATTAAAACAGTCTCTAGGGTATGCTGAAAAATTACTGCGAGGTTATTGATTAATTTACTATTGGGTGCAGCAGCTGAACCTGCTGAGGTACAAGACTATAGTTATTCTAAATATTTATTGTACTATAAGCCTTTATATGCGCAAGGAATTGAACAAAGATCTAGGTATCATAAGCAGTTATACATTTCTCAATCATAATTCAATTTAGGACCATTTCTGAATCATTCATCTTTTTAACGCATTATTGTATCAGCCTATTGCTGTCACCATTTTACCACTGCTTTACCTTGTTTTACACTTTTGTCTATTGTTATATGCTATAGATGTCACACACCATTGCACCTAAGATGCTTTATAGATTGTATTTTAACTATTATTAGTATTACTGTGTGTTGTTACAATAATGTACTGTATATAGTGTTGACCAGCATTATTTATTTAACATTTTTTTATATATTTCTTTTTTAAGTATTTGGAAGAAGGTAGAAATTTATAATTACACAGGTGTGACCAATTATTTGTAAGAAAAATTTAGTGAAAAGAATATGAAACAAAAAATTTTTCTTTTGTCAGACATACATATGATTCAGTTCCTTAACCATTAACATAGACAATGTTGGTAACATAAGTCATGCATCCCATCTAATTTATCTACTAAACATTGATGGTTATCTGTTATTATTATTATTATTATTATCCATTAAAATGTCAACTGTTGTACCCGAGTATATTTTATACTGATATTCATGTAATATATAATTAACTAGAAATACAGTGTATATTTATCACAAAACATATTTTTAAAAACTAGTTGAACTTTTATTTGGTATGTTAGAATATTATATTATACTACTATTTTTATATCTATGATTGTACTATTGTATTTATACTGTATATGTTCACGGTGCTATGCAGCAAATCTGATTCGATATGGTTACTTGCTATACTTTCAGGGCAATGAGTTCTGTGTAGCCTACCATATCTCCACTATGCGAGGGCAAATATCAGTGTTGTGAAGGGATGTGCTCTTGTAGTTGAACCTGCAATATACCAATAGTTCTTTGTGGTTTAGAAATACAATGGTCACATTGAAAGCAATAAGTTGCATTATTGAGTGCGATGCAAGAAGTGCACTTTTTTTATGCAATACTTTTTATGTTTTTATAACTATTTTAATCGAAGTTCTGTCTAAGGAAGATTTTTCCCATTGTATTTTATGATTGGAACGAATAAAGTTTGATTTAATTTGATTCATACAACTGATAAGAAGCTGTCATTGCATAGCTCTTTGATACAAGTATAATTTTGAGTTCATATTTATGTGATGTCAGAATTCAAAGCTGTCAATTGAATTTAGCCACAAAAGCCTTTGTGGGCTATGCTTTCTATTAGAAAAATTCGGCTAAGCTTTCTATTAGAAAAATTCCCATGGTTTAAGTAACAGTGGTGTTTAATTGGTTATTAGGTTTTATTAGTACGGCTAATGCAAATTAACCATGACTTTTTGTCTTTACTTTTCAGGGGTTTTTTTTCTATCTGTGTGTGACAATTAAGTACTGTACATGCAGGTTTGGATGCCAATTGGTCGAGTCAGAATGGGAGTCAGAAAGGATGGATTGATGAAATCAGGGAGTTTAGGATATTACTTGAAAGAATGACCACCAAGTAAAGGGGTTTTCCTCCTGCTGTAATGTGCAACAGCTAAATGTTATAGATAGACATACAGTACTGGTTTTGAAAATATAGTTCTACATAATGTTATACAGTGTTATGTCACAATTTGCTATAGGTAATATACTTTGGTAGACCCTGTATATGGTAAAAGCAAATAAATAGATGCATGCACAGTATGTTTGTATGCATATATAATAGTTATATGTGGTTTTATTATTTATTAAATTATGATAATGTGGGGTGTCAATAAACACATAAATAAATCATGCATGGTATTGTCAGTTTTTATTTACTGTACTCTTATACTTACTACCTTACCTTAAATATTTAACAATTAGGCCTAGGTAGATCAAAAATATAAATAAAATTACTGTATTTTCAAATAGGGGTGGTGCCAGGGCCCCCTGTCGGGGAGAAAAAAAAATTATTTTCTACATAATATTAATAGACTCTAAAATCGATTAAATAAGCCTTTGAAACCCCTAAATTGTTTTCAGGGGCTTCGCCTCCAGGACCACTTTCAAAACCTTTTAATCAAAGCTCGACCACGCCCACGTCGGTGGCATGGGCCCCGTCGGGTAAATCCTGGCGCCACCCGTTTTCAAATTAGCACATACAGATATTTTACATTATGCGCTATATAAGTTGACAATTATTATTAAACTGATTGAACATTTATCAAATTATTAAATAAAATATCCATCCATTAACATCTGCCAGTTGTATGTTTGAAACTACATAGAATTATTAGAATTAAATTAAAACCACAAGAAAACGGAACTGTTAAAAAAAAAAAAAAAGCCAAATCAAATGATATAAGTTCAATTCCTAAATGGAAAAGAAAAACTAAACACTGGGAAATTATAGTAAATAAGCTGCGACCTACAAGCTTTTTCAGTTGTATGAAGTTCCTGGGAGTTAGATCTGTGCATGTATCCTGTAGGTCTCTGTGGTCTAACGGGTTGCCTGGATAGCGAGAAGCTGCAGGTATAGAAACCCGCCAGAGACACTTTTTCATACGACTGAAATGAAGGAACCTTGCAACCTGTCAAGGCGAGAATGTTATCCATTAGAACACAGAAACCAGAAGTCGTTGGATCGAAATAAAAATAATGATATTTATTCGAGAGAGCTAATCTGGTGGTAGCCACTGTGTGTGCTGAATCATGGAGATCTCAAGTTCCCGGTTCAATTCCCATTGCTGCCTCTCCTTGTATTTCAGCTGCCCTTGTGCACGTTAAAGAACGCAGTACACTCGTCAGAAAAAAGTGGGGGATTGTCTCCTGGTGTACTGCCCAATCAGCACCAGAAGGACCCCACTGGAAATAAGTCTTATAGACTTTCGTGGACTATCCTTAGTGTTTACACCGAATAAATCCAATTAATTGCCAATCCCTAATATTGTGGTCTACAAACTTAGTTTTTGTTAATTTTATCATGAAAAATATCTAGTGTCAGCTATATTTCTAATTGGTCAGGTTATGCTAACATAAATATTTATTTTTCAGACACTAATTTGCATAAAAATGTGGGATATCCGGGTGACTTTTCTACAGAATATAAATTTTTAGGTGACTTCACCCTCCATACGGTTTTTATTTCAAACTTCAAGGTTGAGGCAGACTGGCAATTATATAGTTATTGGTGAGGCAACTACCCTCTGGTACTAGTAATTTGATGCCACAGAATACAATTCAAAAATGTTTTATAAAGTATAAAAATGAAAATCTAAACAGGGTTGTGAATTATTTTGCTTTGCTTCAACTGGTGACTGCATAATATTAATATTTTTTCATTTTCATTATATTTCTTTTACCAAGTAAAAACAAGATGAAGCAGTATTACTGTATATTTGACATTAGAAAACCCAATCAGACAGATAAACAAATAAAATGATCAGCAAATTACACATTCTTTATGTTTTTTATTACAATATTCAAATGTGCAGTACATAATCCCAGTCTAAATTTATTAATATTCAAAGTGTATATTTTTCTAGATTTAACACAATATTTGCTTATTTTTAATCACTAATCATCACATAAATACTGTGTATAACAAATAGGTATTTTACCAGCTAAATATTTCCTGCCTTAAAAGGAAGTGCAGAGTTGAGCAATTAAAAATTATGTAGAATGATTAAAGACTCGGGTCCCCAATATGTGTGCAACTACAAGTTGATTCTATGGTGGGGCAAAGTGCAGCCTGCGGGCCGCATGCGGCCCATCAGTGATTTTTGCGGCCCACGACAATGAATTAAAAACGGCGGGCCGATTAAATTGTCTAGAAAACATGTTTTTTACGGTGCAACACCAATCATATGTAAAAAGTAACATTGAAACTGAAAATAAACTGATGTAAAAGCAGTGCTTGGAGGATTTCGGAAGCTCACTGAAAACAAACAAGTTTGGGTGCAGCCCTCGGTGTTAAATCAAAAGTTCACTTTGGCCCTCCGACCGATTTTTATGCCCACCCCTGGTATAAATAGTAATACAATATAATTATATTCTTTAACAAAACTAACATTGCTTAAGGCATGGAAACTTAGAAATGATATATGGTGATTAAACCTGATAAGTTTGTATTAAGTTTAATGCACAATTGGGCTACATTGTTGTTGTTTGACTGAGCTGCTATATATTTTATTTGACTATCTAATGATTGTTAAATCTTGTGTAACGTGGTTGTGTGCCACTGTTACAAAAGTGTTATTCCAAGTAAGTTATTATTATTAGCTACTTTTTCAATGAGATATTTTAATAATAGCTAGGTGAGTTAATTACAGTATAGATCTACATGTCTGTCCAGATTCACCCAGCTGTGTAGCTGGGGTCCCAAGTCTCTCGGAAGTAACAGGAGTGTCCCAGAAATTGAAAAGGCCTGCCAACTCCTCTAGGCCTTGCAACTGAGAGCAAGCAAGAATTTCCCAGAAAATATCATCTCCAGCAAATTTATATTTTCTTGTTTTTATTAGGCCTAGCAAGTGAGAGCTCATAGTTGTTACAGCACGATTCAATTATTAATTGTCTCGCGGAACATAAGAATGAGTATCACCATGGAGAAAATATATCAAAATTAGATGTGTTAAAAAAGCTTATTTAAAAAGATCTTCCAAAAGTGGCTTCTTCTAACATGGCACCCTGGTGTAATCAAGGCCAGGACAGTCTGAAATGATCATTAGACCACCAAGCCAGTGAATAAAGGACTGAATATCAAATAATAGAGTAGGCCTGTTATTTCTGCAATTTGCATTATATTTACAATTTTTCCATCAGGTTTTTTTTTTTCAAATTAACTACAGTACCTTGCATATATTGATACATTTCATGAAATTGTACCTCTGCACTTCCCTTTGAATTTTTTTCAAATGCAATCTAAACCAGCATGTATGAAGAGAGAGACTAGTGGTCTTAAATCCATATTAATATCATACAGGTCTAAATGGTACGATGCTCGTCGATATAGCGAGAGATTGTGGGTAATTTTGTTTTAAGAGCTCTTAAGTCACTTGTTTTTGTAAATTGTTTACATTTATATTTTTTGTATTTACTGAAATGCACTCTCTGGATTACAAAATGTTTTCAATTACAAATTCTGTTCAGATGGAGGGGTATGTAATCGTGAGATGTTACTATTTAATTACCGCTGTGCAATTAGCACTTATTAGCCTAGCCATATTGATTGCTGGCCTGGCCAACACAGAAAAAATGGGGGTTTATTGCATATTTCAAGTGTTCAGCATCAGATATTTGAATTACTTGCCTGCAAGACTGTAACAGGTGGTCTATGGCATCCTATTTAAATTTCATTCCAAACAATAAAGTATAAAGCACAACACTCAATAGATTTATTAAAACAATTATCAATTTGCTCTTAAAACTGCTCTGCTGAAATTTCCAAAGGACTCTCCTTGTCTTTCATTTTTAATTCTTCACGGTAGTAGGTTAAACTTTCCTGCAAAGAGAAACAAAAATGACTTGATTGATTCATTTATTTTAATAATGTATTTTTATGATAAGTAGGTACAAGAATATCTGAGGCTTAATCCACATTAAGATAATAAATTTTTAAGTGGAATTAGTCCTATTTATATGTTGTCAGTAATATAAATATTATCAGTAAGTACTGTATATAGTATTTATAGATATTGAATTGTGTTTATATTTTTACTTACTAATCTTGTACATACTCTATTTATTACTGTATTTATTACTGTATATGATTTAACTTTATAAAATTGCCAGTGGAAACAAATTTCTGATTTTTCGAACAATAAAATTAACTTGCTGAGAAAAAAAAGAGACTGAATTGTCCTGGATTTTGGAGAGTGAAAATAGTTATATTTTATTGTACATTTAGAAGTGGCATTTATGGCTAATAGAACCAATGTATTTATAAAGGTCTTTGTAATGGAAAAACAATAAACTGAAACTAAAACTGAATAATTTTACATATTTTCATTTAATACATTTTGTTTAAGTCGCAGGCTTATCATAGGTAGAATGAACACCTGCTTCTTATAGAACAAAAATTATATCTATGGCCAAATATAAAAGATCGTACAAGCATTTTCGGTATTTTATCGTTAAAGGTAACTAGAAGCATATCCCCTAATAAAGTCTGTACAACCAGCAATTTTAGAAATGTGAAAAGGCACGTAAATTTGGGGAGAATTGGATATTATAAGATATCTAAAGTCAGGTCAGAAACATCACATCCATTTATCATAGGACAATACTTTACAGTAGCGTATAAATTAGAGCATATACCTGATATGTGGAGAAATGTATAATTATGCTGCTTATCTAGGGTCAGATATCAGAAATGTCATTTCCGGTCACTTTCGGACAAAATGGGGCATTACAGCAAATATATACATGTCTGATCCGAAAAATTTGAGACCAAAATAAGGTGTCTATGACCACCAGTTATGGAGATATTAATGTTACAGGGTACAGGGTCAAAGGTCAAAAACGTTGGATTAATTCAAATAGAAACATGTATGTTCCAAACAATATAAGGCCAAAATTAGGTCTCTAAGACCAATGGTTATGGAAATAAGGACATAATGTGATTGTACCTAGAGTCAAATGTCAGAAATGCCACTTCCGGTCATTTATGGGCAAAATATTGTAATAGAGCAAATAGAAATGTATATTACAAACAATTCGAGACTAGAAGTAAGTCTCTATGATTTTCCGTTGCCAAGATATACGAATCTAACTTTTAGTAGGCCGCGAGGAAGAAAAAATAATAAAAATATTTCATAGTGAAAGTTCATTGCATCCCACTATCCCATAAGTTATTGTTATTGTTTTATGTTATTTCTGTTTTTTGATCATTAATTATAATTCTCTTTACTGCAATCGCATACCAGAATAGATACTGGTAATACAAAATATTCTAATAGGCCTAGGTATAAAAATATAAAAACATACAAAATACAAACAAGCATTCAGGAAGTGCAAAATAAAACAATACAATAAGGCAAGGCAGCATTATTACACACATTTAACATATATTTTTAATTAGTATAATATTATTTAATTTTAGAAAATGTTAATTTAAAATTCAGGTACATTGCAAATTTAATATAATATTTACAATATTAGCAGACTTTGATACACTTCTAATATTTTCATAAAATTATTCAATTATTATTTTATTGTAATTATTTGTTCTTTATACTGGACGCAGGGTTCCTGGAACGCCGCCCTCAGCGGCGAGTGCGAAGCACAACTCAGGGTCAAAAGTGGAACGTGAAATTTCGATATAGTTTCGTAGTCAGATTTGCGAGAAAAAATTCAGCTACCATATTTCTCGACTGAGACGTCAGTGGGAGCTGTAATTTGTATGGCAAGGAGATTGTGCAACCCTTAATTGGTATTAAGTGAATTTATGCCCAGAAACCTTGTAGTTATTAATATTTTGGTTATAATAGAAAATATTCATTTTTTGGTGACGTCACACTCACAATATAGTTAGCATACGTCATAAGCTAGATTATGTCACCTTTTCCTGGTAAGGCAAACTTTCCCGGCGTGCTTTTTTCATGGATAAACAAACAGCACTGCTTTGCACATGGATGCCTTGCCCTAGCTAGGGCTACAAGAGCCGCATTGTTAGCATTGTATAATACGTATAATACGTAAACAAGGTACCTCTGCAACTGAATTATTCTTAGTTATTTGTTTTTTATTTCTTATTTTAATTTATTTCTTTTGAAAGTGTACTTTAGTTTCTATCACATATTATTGCACTGTCTAGTTAGGCCTGGGCCTAGGCCTAGTCTTATTATGCCTTATCGTCCCCCGCTAGACAGTACATCAGTACCCCCCCCCCACCATACAGTACAGATGTTTGCTAGGCAACAATGTGATGGCACCTTCCTTCCCAGGTGTTCATGTAACATAGGCATATTGTTAGCAAAACAGTTGTGTGTATTTCTTTGTAAAATGAGTACCATGGCGTACTCATTTTCACAAAGCATTTGCATCCCCTCTTGGAAAGAGGGAACTTCGAAAATTGTCTCCATATCTTCGCTGATTAAATTAATCACCGTAATTTAGCTTACACTTATGAATTTAGGGAGCACTTAAAATGTACAATAATCATTTCACTACCCAACAAACTCCGAATTTATTCATGCATTAGGCCTACATAATAGTTTCATCTTGCTCATACTCAAACATCACTGGCTTATGGTAACAACCAACTGACTGCAGACCATTTCCGGTCACACATTACTCTCCATAACACAGCACCCCCTAGTTCCGTCACCTCTGGGTTTCCTCTTCAATAACAAATTACTGTTCTCCCAGAGGGCCCCATTTATTATTTATAATATTATTAAAAATTTGATACAATTCTCATAAAAATAAATGATTACAATTAAAAAGACACCATAAAAAGGTGCTGTCTTGTTGTGTTCTCACTGATTATGCTCAATCAAATAAACTAAACACCAAACTTCAAAAATTCTGATTTAAAGCACTCACTTCAGGTTCTGTAAAAGGAGGCTCTTGGCCATTTCGCTTCATTAACAGCGCTATCCTCTTCAAGTTAAAATCATTTACTTCTATTCCTTCATTTATCATTCTTTCACGACAGTTGAGGGCCCCCTTCCAATCTTGCTTCTCATCTATAAAGACAAAAGAATTGTAGACAATTAGCACTTTACGAACTAGCAAATTTTATTAATTCACAAGCATGTTCACAGTGGTTTTCTACAAGTGAACATTCGTAACCCTGTATGGGTACAAGGACCCTACTGCATGGGTGCAGAACCATCTCCTCTACTGGATATTTTTTCTCCACCTGGTCAACAGGAAAATATTTTTTTCCCATGATGGTCTTATTTACTACTTTCATTTGTTTATTTATAGTGCCCGTTACATATCAGGCGCCCTGAGCATCTTACATTAATTAGATGGATATGTGAGCTAAATAAAACCCAAGTCTGTCCTGATACCAGGTTTCAGAGGTCCCAAGTTTGGTGAAGTAAATTTTCTGGTTACTTTGTCGTGAATCTGAATTAAGCCTGTTACGGCACTAACTTGCACATGTGTTGAGGCCTTACAAAAATACATTTAAAACAAATTCAACAAAAACAAGCATATGTGAGTACTGTATTTATTTACAGTAGTAGTAGTACCAATTATATTTACAAACCTCTTATTTGTGAAGCAACTTTTACATTATTATCTGTTTTTAAAACAAAAGAAAAATTATAGATTTTCCGGTAAAATTTGATTACTTCTGGGAAGCGAGAATTTGGCTTTCAAAAATCTGTGAAACCCTCAATTTTCTTGGGAGGCCTAAGGTTCAATTGCAGCTGCCACTCTCCTTGGAGGGTTTAAATAAAATTTACGATAGTGCACTGTTTATGCTGTGACTCACATGTGTCCATTAAAGTCCATTAAAGAGTGTAATAAGCTCTTTAGAAAAGAGTAGTGCATTCTGCCCAATGCACTAAAGGAAGGACACCAATAGAGGAAACAAGTCACTGGACTTAATGGGCTATCATTGGTTTGATTCATACCAAAAATACTTTAATACGAACTACTTACCAAAAGCCTTGATGAGGTAGAAGTATATCTTAGACTGTTCTTTGAAACTGCTGTTTTTGGTCAGTTCAAGTAAACCTTCAATTTTGTTAACCTTGGAAAAATATAAAGCAGAGTGAAAGGATTTTCCAAACATATTAAACCAAGAAAATCAACAGTATAATATAATAATGTGCAATTATTCTTAAGTTCAGAAGACCCTTTACAAAATAGAGCCCAAAGGAGCCATTATTTCCTAAAAAAATTTGACTGAAGGCCATTTTTGGAGAAAATACTGGCTCATGGTCCATACGGCTTTTATATATTATAGGGTCCAAAACAACTTGACAATAATTTCTTTATATAGTGCCCACATGGTATATCGAGGACTGTGGCTTGATTTCACGTACTGGTGTTGAAGAGCTGTGTTCGTGTTAGCCAAGTTATAAGAGCTGTGTTCGTGTTACCACGTCAGAAATGCTGTGTTCGTGTTAGCCACATTGAAGAGCTGTGTCTGTGTTAGTCATGTTGAAGAGCAGTGAGTTGGAGATAGGTATGGGTTGGCGAGCTCCTAGGTTACTGTTGGAAGGGCTCCGCTCTGAGCAGCTGTGAATTCATATTTTTGCTGGTTTTTGTTGATCTTTTATCAACATTTTTATGTTGAAGAATTTTCTACAATTTGAACTTTATTTCTGATTTTGGCCAGGCCTGGCTTTGTTGCTTACCAAGCTTTCCTGTGAAATTGTTTATTGGCTTTCCAGCTTGACTAAAACAATAGAAAGTACCATGGTGAATTACAAGCTACACTGTAGCCTAGAATCTGTATTTCATCATACTGGAGATGAATCAAGTTTCTATGGATTTAACAGTGACGAAATTAACTCTTTGTTCTCTATTTCTCATGTTTCTAATGAGAGTAGTGCTAATGGTGTTAGCAAGGCTCATTTTGAACCATCTATATCTATTACTTGTGATAAAGAAACACAAGCAACACCTTCCTGGATGTATGACCTGCCTATGTTTTCTGATTGGAAGCTTTCCCTTGAGAAGCAAATATCTGAATTACAACAAAATGTTCAGCTCCTAATGAAAGTTAGATCTGAAGATGAAAACTTACAAATGGAAGAGCCTACATCAATACATGAATCTCCAAAATCACATCACACAGGCCCATCGCAGACCAGAACCCTGAAAGATGTCATCTCTGTTAAAACCAACAACCGCTTCATGCTTAATGTTGAAGATGATGAAATTCACCCAGACACCTCAAAAAATTAAAGTGAAAAAAATCCTCAGTCAACTGTTCATACACCAATGAATCTTCGACCAACAGCTGATGTATTCATCTCTCCATCTAGACTGCTTTCCATGACCAGCGATTGTCGGAGTTCAACACCTATAAGTGGAAACCCAAACCAATTTCAGCCTCAGTCACCTACTGTTGATAAACCAGCTCACAGAAAACCATCTCACAAACCCAAACATCAATTGCTCAAGAAAACTCTACTCATTATTGGAGACTCTATAAACACGTTATATTTTCATTGCAGATTTTTTGGGCTCAGTACGGACTCCAAACGTATGCAGGCGTATGCGGATTTTATAACTTGTTTATCCCTAAACACCTCAATGGTAATTGCATGTCACGTCGCATAAGAGTTGTAAATCGCTGCATCCCTGGCACTAAACTTGAGCTTTGGGAAAAACTTGCACCAGTATTTATACAAGAAGAAATTATCATTCACTGTGGCACAAATAATGCGAGTCAATGTATTGTGGCCGAATGTGCTGAACTATTGAGCACTGTAACTGACAGTATCTTAGATAAGGACCCGTCTATTCAAATCGTCATATCCTCATTGACTACTCAGCAAAACTCAGGTAAATGTGCCTGGGTCAAGGAGTATAACGCAAGGGTACTTGAATTATGTAAATTGAAGAACTGGTCCTACATTGATAACAGTGTGAATATTAGTCAGTATCACCTTGCCAAAGATGGCCTTCATCTAAATCGCCAAGGAATCACACAACTTGCAATGAACTACATTCATTTTTGCAACAAGAGTTCCACTTAAACAAAAGTATTGATATTAAGGATAATAACAGTAAGTCTCAGTATTATTCAAAGAAATCTGAAAAGTGTGGTGAAGGCTTTAAAAATAATTTGCTCTCTCATATTTCTGTTAATTGTGAAAACTGTACTCTAAATTTTCATTTAACTTGTATCTTTGATTCATTTTCTAAATGTAACAAGTGGTGGTGTGACAACTGTTTCTCAAAAATTTCTTCTGCTGAACTTCCATTCTATGATGGTTTTATCGATTATAAATGTCTTCCTCAAAAAGGTTTTAAAATTGGACATATTAACATTAATTCTAAAGAAACAAGGTTGATCACATTAACACTTTCTTTCATTTAAATGATTTTGATATACTTTCAGTGTCTGAAACATGTCTTGACACCAGTATTGATAATGCTGAAGTTTCCATAAAAGGCTATGATATCTGTGCTAGGTTAGACAGACAAGTCTTAAAAGCCGGTGGTGGTGTTTTATGTTATGTAAAGTCTCATCTATTATATAAAGAAAATGAGGTCCTTAAAGATGAAAATATTGAAACAGTATAGGTTGAAATTTGTCTCCCTAAGACTAAACCCATGCTTGTTGGGACTTTCTACAGACCTCCATCAGCCAAGGCCGAGTACCTTGATAGACTTAGCAATATTTTTCAACATGCTACATCTCTGTACAAAGATGTTTTTATCTTGGGTGATATGAATCTTGATATTACTAATACTGTATAACTAACTCCAAAGAAATTAATGATCTATGTAAAAAGTCAAATTTAACTCAAATAATCAATGATTACATTCGATTAACTGATACAACTAGAACTATTATCGATCTTATATTTGTGACAAATCAAGACATATTATCTAATTCAGGTGTACATAGTTTAGGCTTATAAAGTGACCACTGTCTTGTCTATATTGTACATAAAAAACAAAGAGTCAAGGTCCCACCAAAAGTTATTCAATCCAGATCCTTTAGAAATTTCAATAAACATACCTTTATAAACAATCTTAAAGATACAAACTGGGATCAGATAAAAGAGTTTATTGATTTAAACCAAGCATGGGCTCTATGGAAACAACTGTTTAATCTTGTCTGTGATCTCAATGCACCATTAAAAACTAAAAAAGTAAAAGGTTCAATTCCTAAGTGCTTTACAAGTGATTATTTCAGATTAACAAAAGACAGAGGATACCATTACTCCAGAGCACACAAAACAAATGAAAAGACTGGGAGAAAGCCAAATCACTAAGGAACAAAGTTAACATACTAAATTGAAATCTTAAAAGAACTGACTCGATTAAGAATAATGCTAAAAATCCAAAGAAGCTTTGGGACACCATACATAAATTAATTCCTAAAAATAATCAAAAGATTAACAAAGTTCGTACTAAAGACGGATACACAACAAATGATAAAGAAACTGCTAATATCTTCAATAGCCACTTTACTTCCGTTGGAATAAATCTTTCTTCTAACTTCCCTGTATACGAGAATAATGATTCACGAATTGATTATAACATTTAGATAAGTTTGAATTTTATTTTATCACAAAAGAGTTTGTTTTCGATGAAATTTGTAAATTTTCTTCCAGTAAAGCTAAAGGTCTTGATGGAATTGATTGTAAACTACTCAAACTTGCTGACCCAAATAATTATAGACCAATCTCTGTGTTACCTATGATATCTAAGATCCATGAACGGGCAGTTCATGATCAATTATATAGCTACCTTACTGAAAATAATATCCTAAATGAATCTCAGTCTGGGTTTAAGAAAAACCACTCTACTCATATCACTTTGCTTGATGTCACTGATTATATTTTCTAAAACACTGACAAAGGTAATGTAACTGCTGCCCTTTTTCTTGACCTGAGAAAGGCCTTTGACACAGTCAATCACATAATTTTAATTGATAAACTCAGAAAATATGGTATTAGTGATATTGCCTTAGAGGTGGTTTAATTCATATTTAAGAAATCTAAACCACCCAATTGGAATATACCATTGTTAAAGTGGGTGGGCAACAGGGTGAACAATGTTGGGTGGTCTTGCTTTTATCTAGCTTTACAATAGGACTTAATTTGCTATTGTACACTCCTATTATACTAAATTTAAACAAATTAGAATACTAAATATTAGACAAATACCATTATTGTAGTAAATTAATTAATGATAATTATTAAGAATTCAATTTGTAAACCATATACATGTATGATAAATACTTTTTAATAGAATTAGTCATTTATATTCTTATTTTTACCCATTGTGCAATAATTTTAGAAAATAATTTTAGAAAACTAAAATATACCTATTAAAACAATTAAACTTTAAGCACAGTGATTACTAAAATAAAATTTGATTACTAACCAACATGCATGTTGTCAGAAGAAATGAATGAATTAAAGGCGTATAATAGGAGTGTACAATAGCAAATTAAGTCCTATTGTAAAGCTAGATAAAAGCCCACCCACTTTAACAATGGTATATTCCAATTGGGTGGTTTATGTCCTGGGTGGTTTATGTCCTGGGTGGTTTATGTCCGTATACCGGTTTGAATTCATATTTAAGAAATCAGTCACAAGTTGTTTGTATTAATTCTGATAAGTCTGATTGTAAAAATGTTTGTATTGGTATCCCACAAGGTTCCATATTGGGACCACTACTTTTTATAATTTATGTGAATACTCTCCCAAACAGTGTTTCTTGTAAATCTGTTATGTACGCTGATGACACCACTCTGCTGTGTAGTTCATCCGACCCAATAATAATTTATGATTTTTGGAACAACTCAGAATGTTTCAAAATTTAATGATGTTACTGTGAGCTATAATAATGACTCCATTGACAGGGTTGATTTTTTAAAATACTTGGGTGTTACTTTTGACCCACAGCTTACATGGAACAAACACATTGAAAGCTTATCTTCTAAAGCTTCTAAAAGGATTGGTGTCATCCGTCGTATCAGATATTTTGTACCGCAATTTATTCTTAAGATGTTAGCTAAAACTATTGTTTTACCTTTATTTGATTACTGTTCTTGTGTATGGTCAAATTGTTCCATCCAATTATGTAATAGCTTACAAGTTCTTTTAAACACCTTAGGAAGAATATTACTTTCATGTGATATTAGAAAACCAATTAATGATATTTTAAGTTTGTTGAACTGGCAAACTCTGAAAAATAGATGGACAGACCAATTATTATTTTTAACTTTTAAATGCCTTCAAGGATTTGCTCTCTCCTACCTAATTAATATGTTTGTTTTCCTTGAAAATGATAAAAACACAAGAAGCCAGACAAATAATCATCTTGTAGTTCCACAATGGAACATATGTCAAGGAAAACAAACTTTTCATTACCATGCATCCATGAAGTGGAACCAACTACCTAGCAATATACTGTAACTAGGGATTTCCAGAATTTTAACCAATATACATTTAAAAATGCTCTGAATTAATTGGTCTCTCCTCTATTTTTGTAATTAAGTCATCTATTTTTGTAACTAAGTCATCTATTTTTGTAATTAAGTCCTTTGTTTAATTTTCCTAAATTTTTCTTTTCAATTTTTCAATTTTTGTATTTTATGTTGTAACTGGACCACAACGAAAACCAGTGTTTTTGCATTGAGCGTGCCATCCAGTATAACGAAAATTAAGTAAATAAATAAGCGCTCGTGTTAACCACGTTGAAGAGCTGTGTTCGTGTTAGCCAGGTTATAAGAGCTGTGTTCGTGTTAGCCACGTTATAAGTGTTGAGTATTATTCTTATTGTTCATATATTTGTTTTATTACTATTATTATTATTATTGTTATTATTGTTATAACCGGTTATTATTGCATTGCCATGAGATATAGGCCTAACTGATAGTCTTACACGTATGCAAAATTGTCTTTACATGCAATACTAAATAATTGTACGATAATAACTGATGGTGATAGACGGAATTGATTATCACAATTTCTAAACTAATGATCTATGTTGATGCTATTGTTGACTGTTATTGTTGAAATTGTTACTTGTTAGACGTGATAATATATAGTAGCATTATTATTCTTGAGATATATATGCATTGGAGATCAATGTGTAAATTAATAATAATGAGCATACAGTAACTGTTTAGTAATTATTATTGTTGTGAACCGTTATACATATATATTTATTATTGGAGAACAATGGGTAAATGATAGTGAGCAAAACTGTTTAGTAATTATTATTGTGAACTGCTCGATTAGGCATACACTGATTTATGTTATATATTAATGGAGATCAATATGTAGTTTATTGATAATTATTAAATTAATTGAATTATTGACAATTCAATTGCTATGAATTGTTTATGATTAATAAGATAATGGTAACATTATATTGTTATTATTATGTACACAGACTAATTAACTATATATTGCGATACTTAAGTGGATTTATTGTTAATATGATGAGTTGTGGTTAATAAAGTTTAACCCTAGTTTAATTCCGTGTCGCAAATTATTGCCGAAGTCCTGTCTCTGTTTTGGAATTTTGGAGGAACTTGTGACAGTATTACATATATTTAGACTATTACATAATCAAACTGCTGGCTGTGGTGACTGGTTGCTTAGTGATAAATACATTAACTGCATGTGTGCATTATCTGCGCATGAGAATGATTTGCCAGTAGTACACAAACTGACTCTTCGCAGATCTTTGCAATACGGTGAAGATGAACAAATGATTGTGGTTGATGAAGTTTATTAAGGGTAACCTCCTGGTAGACATTTGTAAGATGAGGCTTGGCCTTGCAATGAAAAATATTCAAGGTTATTATACAAGGTATAACCCAAGCTTTGAGGCTTTTTTCACACGAGATGCAAAAAATAGCACTATATCGAATTAGTACCTGCCGGGGATAAGAAAATTAGGTGCAAATAAATGAAAATAATGACGTTACGACTGACTTATTAAATGAAGATTATTCAAGGTTTAGATACTGTACTTACAGCATTATCATCATTATGAGCACACTGTATAACATAAGCCATAACTCTTTCTTCTTTTTCTAGCATTGATGGATATTTCTAGAGCAAAAGAAAAATGAATTGTTGATTCTTGGATCAGAAATTAAAACAAGTTTTAGAACCATAATTTTTAAAAAGTTTGCTGATGTACTTTGAGAGTGTTGGAGACGTAGCTTATTGGTTAAGATGGTCCTGGTTTCAATTCCTGTGACACCATAGAATTTTTCTCATGACTAAAACACATCTCTCCAAGTTTGAAACTTGGCTTAGTTTATAAAGCATCCCATTATTCATTTTAATCATTTATTTCAAAATTAACTCCACATACAACAATTAAAGAAAATAAACATTACGTATTATAACATACAGTCGAAATAATTAAGTTATGTCAATTAAGTTAAACAAATCAAATATCAGTGTATGTATCATTGAAAATGAAAAGGGATAAGCAAAATAGGCAAATGATCCACAAATGCCTTAACTCATGCTCTCCTTCATAAAAATAAAAGAAAGATAATTCTTATTGCTTTTTACTGCTACTGTTCTTAATAACTGTTTCCTTTTGTTCGTAGCAGCATAAAGGTTCGGTTAGAAAAATGGAAAGCAATTTATTAGTATGGAATTACAAGAACTGAGCTCCCATTAACTTGTGGTGTACCACAAGGGTCTGTGTTTATCTATATTATAATTACGCTTCTTGAACACAATGCAAATTCGAGGTCCTCAATAAACATCTGGGATTCGAAACCTACTGGTATGACAACAGTAACAACATAGGGCATCAAATCCTCGATCACACGAAGTGAATATCATTCCATTTTTCAGGTTCGACGAGGAAAAATAATGACTTTTACCATCGTTTTATTACCGGACAGGTAGCTGTCTCGCGAGAGCATATCTGTACACCTTCGCATTCGCTGTCTCTCGGTGAGTTGTTTTACAATCTTACAATTTTGGAACGCCAAAGGGAAACTTTTAAACACAGTACACAGTACATTTTGAAGGACCTATGGTTTTTAGGCACTGTTGGTTAACAAATAGTCGATTTCGAGCACAGTCTGTTCAAAAGGTGTTGTATATGGCAGGCTTACCTATCGCAAATGTCTTTTAGATCAGGAAAGTATTGTTTGTGAAAGTTTTTAACTTATTTGGCCTTTTTATAAGAGCTATTCACAATTTTAATTGCATTTCTTCGATTTTTTCCTATTTTATTTGTAAACTCATCAGTAACCATGTACAACTTTATACTTAAATTTATCGAATGGTGCAGGTGGTATTTTTAAATTGAAGTGTGATGCTAAACAATTTACTGTTCAAATCCATATAGAAAAGGTTTTTAAAATGTTAAATAAAATTATATATACAGTAAAAAAATAATATTTTTGTATGTTTAAGTATTAATGTATAATATATCTTTTTTATTTTAAATTAAATTAGTAATTTCAACAAATAATTATTTTGACATTGTAGGAATTCTGGTGCAACTGCTTAACATACAATAAGCTTGTTATCAAAACACACCCTGCATATTTATCGTCTAACAAGTTCTCATAATCTTGAAAGCTCTGATGAGATTCTGGTGGCACTAACGGCCACACATACAAAAAAGATCTATTAATCAATCAGACGAGTGATTCTAGTGGCCCTAACGGCTGCCCACACAAAAAAGACCTATAAATTAATCAATCAGCAGGGTGCTCCTAGAGCTCCTCATTGGAGCTAAAAATATAAGCATGAGGTTCAGATCAATAAACCTTTACCACATAATGTCTCTGGGGCTGCAGTCTAATACCTGATTCACACGTGAAGTTAAATTTAACAAAAAGTAACAAACTGTAACTGAGCCATCTCCCGAGTTATTCCTACTGAGATATAAAGCATTCACACGCATCTGTAAGGTAATTCCAAGGTCGTGTAAAATATATTCAGTGTTTATTCAATGAATCATTTTTGCCCCTAATGCAATAGGCCTAGCCTAGGCCTAGGCCTGGTTGAGAACCCCTGTCAAAGATTGGACTGTTGAACTCACCATCACAGTAAACATTCGAAGCAATCAATGCCCTTAACAACTGCTGTACTCCTACTACTAAACTAGGCCTAGCTTCCAACGTTTCTGTGGACTCTTGATAATACTAGTACATAATAGTACTAACACCATCCCGGCGTTCATTTATGTATATCTTCTTCTTCTACCATTACTAATAACAAGGGTAATTCATCCATCATTGAGGAAAACTAGGCCTATCTATTTCTAGTGGACCGGAATCGTCTGCAGAAGGAAGAAAATTCAAAGAACCCTGCGAAACACAGTAGATTGTTGTTGTGTTGAAATTCATGCGCACGCGCAGATCCATCCATGCTACATCTCGGAAGCTTTACCGGCCTCAACAAGGCTGGTAAAGATTACAGAGACGTTCCGAGATTTTACAAGGATATTACACGGAGGTACTTTCACACATGCCGTAAAATGTTACTTTTGGTTACATTTTGTTACATTTGGTAAGATTTTTGTATGTGTAAATCGGGTATAAATATAATACACACACCTATCACTAATTCTAAACAAATTTATCACACAATTTATAATAAAAATACATTAATCATTGTATATCAATAATTTCATTTGAATAATATAAATTAAAATGCATTATCTATATTCCAGTGTACTTAAGAGGTTCTTAAGAATTTGGAACTTCTTGAAAAAAAATAGTTTTTTTATGGAAAATTTATTAATTATTCATAAGGAAATTTCGTAGACATGATGCAATGAAAAAAAAGTAGAGTACACAAATCAGGAAAGTAACTAATTGATGTGTTATCATATAGATAATGCAAAATTTCTGCAGAATTTTATGTGGCCCAATAATCTTCTACTTGATTAGACTAATTATGCACTAAAAGGTACTAACCTTTGTCAAGTGGTAGTTCATTTTGTATCATCTTAGAAAAGAATGAGCGAAGTCCAACTTTGTCACCATTCTGTGTTTCTGAAAGTTTCTCTTTAATTTTTGTGAAAGCTGTGTCTAACTCATTCCTAAAAAACACAGAAAAGTTGATATATCACAATTCTAAATTGTAGGAAACCATCCTTCTTATCTATAAAAACTGTTATTACACAAATTCTAATATGGCTAAATCTGACCACTCACTGCCCCTGATGATTCTATAGAGAAAGCAATGCCACAATGTGCACGCAAAGGATTGTTTTTAATGACAATCCGTTCAGATAGCCACTGACACTCAGCGTCGCATTGTTTAGCACTCACAGGGAGCAGGGTTGCAGTCATTGGCCGACGGTTGTATGCTTAATACTTGTACAAGATATAATGATGTATATGCATCAACAGAATTGTTGAGATTGAATTCACAAAACACAATCTGACAACACTCAGGTCTTTCAAAACTGAGTAACATTTTGTGTTCATAATGTAGTCATAAACAATATGTTTGACTTTAAAACCATTTCATTTTTTTATGTAGAGACTATAATATGAACTGACAAAAAACAACTTCAATCATGAGACTTTTTGTGTATCATGTGAAAGGATTGCTACTTAGACAGTGATTAATTTTTATTGGCAGTTCTTGGCCCATGAATGTAAAAACTGAATGTAGAAAAATGAGTAGACAGGGTGCAAAATATTCATTTGTCAGAGCCCAGGCCTCATTGATCTATAGAATAATGGAGTGAGAGTTTTGCTCTAGGATCAACACAGCTACTGTAAGTAGTAGGCTAATAATAATAATAATAATAATAATAATAATATGTCGTTCTTATATAGCGCTTCATGCCTTTACAAGGCCTCTAAGCGCTTCACATTACTACCCCGGTCATTGGATCAAACACATATGGAACACATTTAAACACCAAATTAAATTAGTAAATCAAATTATATTATCATTCCACAAATTTCAGCTAGTAATCAGCGCAGGTTGTGTTGAAACCTACTAGGTACCCACTTATACTCCTGGGTGGAGAGAGGCAACCGTAGATAAAGTGCCTTGCCCAAGGACACAAGCAATTTGCACAGCCAGAGTTTCGAACCCCCGACCTCAAGGTTGGGAGTCAAAGCCACAACCGGTGCGCCAACCGCTACACAAAACATGGAAATAATTTTTTGGTTTGATAGAAAGGAGAATTTAAATAAGAGTTCCAATTGAGTATATATTTATTATTTGTTATTTATTCTGTTTTACTCTAAGATAGAGATGGCAAGCTATAAAGGAAAATAAACTCCTATTCCCAATGGGATTCACCTACCATTAGAGCACCATATTGTAGTTATCATCTCATCTTCATAATGAAAAGGTCTCACAAATTTATCTAACACTAAAATATTTCATGGCTTTTTCATAAAATAAATAAATATATGGATGGATGCTGTATATTAAGGCAGTCAATATCAACGGAAGTGATTTAATGATTAAAGCCAGCCCAGGAAAGAGGATTATACAGTAGCATCAAATGTCAACCGGAGAAATGCTTACGGAGAACTGGAGAATTGATTAATTGCTATACAATGCATTCTTTTTTGCATAACAGTTCTGGTTGCCTAGTTTTCTATTCAAGTTTCTTCCATAAACATCTATGTTTTCCATTATTAAAGGACCAAAAAGTACCAGGATGGTGTCCAGCATGATATAGTTTTTACCATGTAGTTTAAGTCACCTTTAATATATAAATTCCAGCCCCAAAACCTAGAATTGGAAAAATTGAAATGGTGTCTGATGAGCGATAATTTGAGGCATGTTGTGGCAAAATGGCTAAGTTGTAGCAAAAATTTAAATTCAAGTTTTGGTATTTTCAGATGAATGAGGGGTCATTCATTGAAATTGGACATTAAGTTATTGGAAAGTGAAAGTACAGCACTCTAGAGTCAAGATAAACACAATTTTGAGTAATTGCCTTCCAAAGTTATTTGTGCATACATTGTTAAATAGAATTTATTCTCTAAACATTAAATAAATGATTTGTTGACCATTTCCAGAACTAATACTTTGGGACATGATTAATAAGACGTTAAACTGTTGATCTATAGTGAAGCTCCCATATTTTACAGCTCATTTACTCAATACTAGCCTGTGCGACAACTTAACCATTTCGCCATGACATGCCTCATTTTATCTGTGTTTTTTTTAAAATTACATTTTCTACCTAGACTCGACCCTTGAAATGCTATTTCAATGTAAATGTTATGACAATAAAAGTATACTCAATATAATTTTTAACTATTTAAGATATACAAACCAACATGTTTACCTATAAAGCAATGCACCAAGCACATACTTATAAAGTTGGTATTGTTCATCATGAGAATCACCGAGTTGATCTATCATGTTATTGATTTTATCCATGTTGCCAGTCTGCTCATACTTAAGTGCAAGTGCACGTGTCATTCTAACAGTTGGCTGAATTCCTTTGGCAATGAAATCTTCAAAGATGTTTTCAGCAGCTTTAGGAATAAATGAGAATCCCAATTATGTTGATGTAAGGAAAACTGTTTTTCAAATTAATCTTACTAAAGTCAGGCACACACTACGTCAATTGACTGTCAGCCAATTACATAATCTTCGCTTTGTGTGAGGGACTTGCATAGTGTGCCACCGTCTGTAGATTGTATTATAGTTGAATTATGTGGAAAGGACAAGCCAAACCAGTCGCTCGTCGCAAATCCTGTTTCTGAGTTAATGGCCAAAACATGCTGGAATATCAAAATTTTGGAAATCTATTTTATTGCGCTAAACTAACATTTACATATCTATACATTATGCTATGCTGTTATTTTCCCATTTCCAATTTTAAAACAACAATGTTTAACAATTTGATGATGGTTGCTGCCTAAGAAACGCCCAAAATTGTAAACTTTGAAGGCTGATTTCTCAAATATTGCTGTTTAAACAGCTGTGTATTTTAACTCCTATAACTTCATAACAAAATATCGGATTTAATTGATGCTTTTACCATTTTACTGTTTAACCATATACAGTAGAACCTCGTTTTTACGTACCCCAGTTACATGAACCCTTGGTTTTACGTATGCCTTGTATCGATGATGACGTCATCAAAACCCCCGAAAATATTCAAAACAAATGGCCTTTTTCAGAGCAGTTCCGTAAGTTAAAAGACTATAACAATAAAAACAATAAACAAACCATAATGCAACGTATTTTCATTAAACAGCAACGTTGTTTACTGGGTTGTTATAATCTAAAACTTGTCTGGTTGAATTTTCTACACAAAGCCGAGTAGGCATAGTTTTGTACACGAACGCTAATTGGTTGGCTCGCCCAGTGCAGTGCACATGGTTGCTGTTTAACGTACACGGATGCTAATTGGTTGGCTCGCCAATGCAGCACACATGGTTTTAATATGTCTCTGCAGGCCCAGACAACACCACAACTCTGTTGTTTAGAATAGCCATGAAGGGGAATTCTCAAGTTATACCTTTGTCGTATAGGTAATCTTACAATATTTTCATGTTCTTTAGTTAAATAAAAGATATAAAGTGATGAATTAATACACTAGACCCATGTTTTTATTTGAACACTTTATTTATGACATTGTAAAGTGATGAATAAAAGCACTAAACACATGGCTTTATTCATAGGCCTAGAGGCTAGGTCTAGCCTAGGTAACATCGTTCGTTCATAACATACGTTTATTAAGCGTTATGTATGTATTAGGTCAAAGGTTACCACAAATTTAACCCAACCTCAATTTTATGAATTCCCGATTTACGTACGCCCTCCTGTCCCGTACCATACGTAAAATCGACGTTCTACTGTATATATATAATAACTAAAAATTGATTTTTGCGACAAGTGACTGGTTTGGCTTGTATTTGCCACATATATTCATGTGTCTTGTATCAGTCTCCATAAAATTGCAATAAACGCACCACATAAAATGCCCACATCTAGTATTATTATGTATATGAACATATATCGATTTATTACCATTCAGTGTCTAGCACTGTTTAGCTCTGACACTAACAAAACAATCATAAAATATTGTTATTACTATTTTTATTGTTACAATACAAGTTAATTATTCTTTGTATAATTCTCTTAATGTTTGTTGAATTATTAGTATTGATTAATATCATTATTATTATTATTATTACCATTATTATTACTATTAATAGTACTATATTTTTGTTAGTCATTTTTATTGTTATACGTTATATATTCTTTGTTTATCTGATCAATTATAAATACTGTACTGTTATATTAAATAGGATCAAACTTAACTGACCTCTATCCACACACATTTGTTTCTATTATATGAATTATTATAATTATGAAATCTTATTATTTCACATTATAAAAAAGCAGTGTTACTTTGTTTCTCAAATGAATAATCCATTGCATAATTTTACTTTTTTTAAAAACATGGTTAATTATGTGATCATTATCTAGAGCAATTAATATTGTACTATTGGTACTTAATACTGATTTGATATATCTGTTGCATTCTAGTATTGTCAATCCCTGGATACTGTTATTACAATTTAAACATATATCTCGAAAGCTTTCTGTAAATTTTATTTCACACACTAAAAACATGGTTACATTGCACAACTTGTAATAAGTTACTACTTGCAAATACTGTTTATGTGAGATGGGTGTTAAGTGAATTGCAGGTACCTACCAGGTAAGTTGTCAGTTTCAATGTAATGAAAGAAGATAGCGCTGTTGGTTAATTTATTCACCGTCAAACCAAACTCTTTAATACTGTAAACAAATCAAAGACCAATTTTCCAATATTGTACTCAAGTGCTGTTGGACTGTCAGGTATTTAAACTTTTTATTGTAATAATCTACTAACCTTTTAGTCAAGCAGGCCAGTGGCAAAATTTCCCCACTCCCCCTATTCCCCTCACTAAGTCTGCCCCTGAAGTCATATATTTTTTGTATACTTTGTGAAAGGCCTAACCTTCAATCAACACCATATCATTCAAAGACCAAGAAACATGCTTGGTATATTTATATTATTATTATTATAACATACTATAAGATACATAGAGAAAATAAAAGTTGTGTATTAAATTAACTTACATATCTCGGACTTTCAATGCTGTATCAACGTCACCCAGTTTAAGAGCAGACAAAATGACAGTGTCAAGCGTTTTGTACTTCAATGATGTTTTGTTCTCCTTAGCATCATTAATCAGTTGCAAAGCTTGATCTATATTCTATTTAAATTTTTTTTAAATAGGCAGTTACAGTAGGGTAATTTTGTCAATACATTACAATAAGCAAAATACGTTATTTCCCAGTCCAACATTAAACTTTTTGCTAACAAAGTTGTCCAGGGTGTTTAGTTCTTAGAGATTTGTAAAAAGTGATCTCAAAATTGACATCATTTTAATATGACTAAAATGTAAATTCATTCATTTTGGGTCCAAAAATGAGATGTATTTATGGTGAAGAAAATTCCAAGGTTAACTTTAAGTGTGTTACTAAAGAAACAGATTTGGGAATACTGATTGATAACAAATTTCTTGGTATGGTTAATAGGTATTCCAAGTTTCTTGATAGCAAGAGTTACATGTTCGATTATAAATCCATGATTAGACCTAAATAGCAGTATGGTAGTAGTTCCTGAATTCCTCTTCATTAAAAAAAAAAGGATAAAGATCGTTTAGAAAAAGTAGCAGAGGTCTACAAGGCTGGTATCTGAATTACATAAGCCATATGGAGAGGAACTGAAAGCCTTGGACTTGCCTACTCTGAAGAAAAGGGCTGATTCAATTCACACTATAATTGTGATAGAATAGAGGTTGGTAGACATTTCCAAGGATCTGAATTCCAGAAAATAACGGGCCATGAGTTAAAAATATGTAAGCCTAAGCATTATTTAAATATTAAAAAGAGGGTGTATGTAGTTATGGTGGTTGATGATTGGAATTAAAAAGATTACAGTTTAAAATTTTGCCCGATTTATTAATTAAAAGCATATGATACCAATCATTCGTTGATTCAATTCATGACCAAGTCATTGCAAAATAATTATGAATGAGATAAATTGCTTACCCCTTCCAAGCATAACTTAACAATATTGCTGTCATCACCATTAATATCTGTAATACCACTTTGAGGAGACTGAAATACAAAAACAACAAAGGCTCCATGATAGGAAATGATGCCAAAAGTGTTCCCATACAAGATGGTCTCTCATAAATCTTTATAGAAACTGTTTAATATTCCACATCAATATATTAAATATTTTGAATTAATAATAGCCCTGAACAGTTTATACTCTAGTATTTCTTCATAGTATAGCTACCAACTAAAATACCTGTTTCACATATAATACTAAAAGTACTATATCTTGCAAATAACACGAGAAGGTCCCTTGCGATCCCCACCATCAAAATTTGCTTAAGTGGGACTCCACAGAGAAACGCCCAGGAAATAAACTGTGCCACAAACCTTGTGCACATGCACAGAATGCAAGGACGTATAATCATTCATTCCTTTACTAATTAATAATCAAGGAGTTTCTTCACTGGCCTATAGCCAATGAAACATCATATAAATACTAGCAAGCCCAATCTACAGAGCATCTGACATGACCCAGTTTTTTCATACAAAAGGAATTCATCCTTCAGCATCATATAGATGGCATTCTTCTGCCAATTTTTTTGGCATTAGGCTTGTAACCATTGGGGCATCACTAGTTGTTTAATTACTCTACCAATGTACTACTTTTCACTGTAAATTATTGCCCGAACAAACATTACATTTAGAAAAAGTTTAGGGATAAGTTTGAATCTCCATGGTTTAATAAAAAAAAAAATTAAGTATATCATTAATCTAAAATTAATGATGTATGTTTAATAATAATAATAATAAATAATAAGGTAAGAACTTATATAGCGCCATTTAAAAAACCGAAGTAATTATCAGTGGCGCTTTATGTTATTGTTGGAATAAGTGCGTTTACTTGAGATACATTAAACTTTGTCTATGGTCTACACATTTCAGCCGTATAGAGCGGGCCTCTTGAGAACTAATTGAAAAGCAATCGTCACAGGCTGGGATGATTGGACAGTTCTATTTTTGTAGTGGGGTGTTCTTTAAGTTAAAAAAAAAATGTTAATGATTTTTAATTGTCCTTTATTGTTTATCATTACTCTTATTCCATTATTGTTTGTTTGTTTGTTTATTTATTTATTTATTTTTATTTATTTTTTTTTTTTTTTTTTTTTTTTTTTTTTTTTTTTTTTTTTTTTATTCATTCATTTTTTTTTTTCTGGGAGCAGCACATCTCTAAGATGACAGTAGTTCCACTTTTGCTGCTCCCTGGCTCACCTGATTATTCTTTCTTTGTGAATTTCTGATTTTTTTTTTCTTTTTTGTATTTGTAATGTTTTATATTGTTAATTGCTTTTGCCAGAATGAATAAAATATAAAATAAAATAAAATAAATAAATAAATAAAAGAACGGTGGCAATTAGTTTATATCTAAGTAAGTATTTACAAAATAGACAAGATTGGACTAAGTTATAAAATTATACTTCAATATCATGTCACAGTACTTGGGACTGACACCTTCATGAACTCACCATATCCATTATCTGTGGTACTTCATAGGGTATAGGCTGATCATGAGATTTCAAAACATTAGCTAGGTATCGCAGCGTACGATCAGATGGGATCACTTCCTCTTCTTGCATGTTGGTCCAGATTTGAAGGCATTTATTAGGATCTTCTTTCCTAGCTGAAAAACAAAAAAGATTTAATAAACATACAAACAAACAAACAGCAATGTAACAGAATTGTAACTTGCAGTTTTGTAAATAGTCATAATTCTTAAGTGTAAAAATCTTATCATAAATCTATCAAAACCATAGTATTTGGATAACTTACCATAAAGTTGCAAGAGAGAGAAATAAAGGTTATCTCTGTTACAGTTGTATAGATCTTTGGTGATTTCAACTAATTTCTCCATCTGTTCTTGCATTTGGTCTACCAGGCATTTTTCTGAGTACCACTGAAGTCTTCCTGCTCTAGCAATCATCCCTGGTGTCTATAGCAATGAATTTGTAAAAAAATTATTGGAAAGGTTTTCCATTATAATTTATTATAATATGGAGCTAGTGCCTAAATTGTCCAATAAAGTATGCTTCAAAATGATAGTAAACATGTGTCACTTCATTTTACATATGGCGACCTACACGGTTTAGAAAAACCTGAGTCTTGGGGTGAAAAACGGACTGCGTTTTGATAATTTCTAATGAAGATGGGGTCAGTAACACAAAAATTGATGTTTTGGATCTAGTACTTCAGCCTAATGATCATTGAAAGCTGACATTATCCTGAAATTGACCATCTCAAATGAAACATCCCATCCTCTTGAAAATGCAAAGAAATCTTTCAACTGAAGTTGAGCAATTGGAAAAAAACATGGAACAAATTTTAAGAATAGGCACCTCGAAGTAATTAAAATGGCTCTCTTATATTCTAAAAATGTGGTCAAGTGGGGATTAAATTGTAGAGAGCCTTATGGGCCACTACACACAAAACAGAAGGTATTAAATCACAGAACATGTTTACTGGATTATATAAAAGCTTTCAACTTACATCAATGATTTTCTTTGCCTCATCAAATTTACTAGTAGTCAAAAATGCAAATGTCATATCATACAGCATATTAATGTCACCATGATGGGAACTACTAAACTCCATTGCCTTCTGAAGCATGTCCTTATCTCCCTCATTAATAAGACGCACCAATATATCATGAAAACTTGGCATAAATCCATACTTGGCTTGGCATTCCTGTATCCATGACAATGCACCTTCCATGTCTCTCCTAAAATGACAAATACATAATCAACACTATACACAGTAGTGATGGCAACACCATCTTAAAATCTAGCGTGCGTACTTTCTTCCCCAATAATTATTATAATTGTATCTTTTTAGGGATTTAAAAGCACCTTCAGACATTTTTCTTTTTTTGTGTGGAGACACTAGAAAAAGGCATGGCCATAACCAAGAAAAATTTAATTCATTAGAATTTAACATAAACTTTCAAACCCCTTATATAGCTGAATTGACGTCACTCACTTGTCCATTAGAGCAGTGACCACGGGCCTCAGAATATTGTTGTTTGAATTAACAATATTGCAGTCAATAAATTTTCTTGTCAACTGCTTAGCTTCTTCTATATATCCTTCCTCAGTCAAATTCTGAAGTAGGAAGAAGACCCGTCGTTCTACGTTGTCAGTCGAGGTGCCACATTCCTTGATATCATCAACTAGATTCAAGGCAACTGAAAACAATCAATATTTTTCAACAATTAGTATTAAATCTTACAAATATTTGTTTTCAGACATTTGAGTGGAGAAAGCTTTGTATTCACTAGCAGGCTGTCAACACAAATGTTCAACAATTTTGGTAACAAACAATTAAGGCCATGTTTCTGCAGCACTTAATCCGATTATCAGAGAGTGACCATTTTGGTTTTTTTTCACAGCGGAAAAGGGGCCCAAAGTTTCTGATAAATTTTTGTATAGGAATCAGTTAATTTATCGGTAAAAGCTCTGAATGCAAAATGAAATAACCTTTGACCAATGTCAAATCACGGCCATACAAAGAATTCTTTTGGGTAGATTTCTATAGATTCTAAGGCAACTAGTAGTTAGTAGCTAGGGGCCTAATATCAAAAAACCAGAGCCTTGCAGGCGTCAACGTTCCTATGCATGATACACGACTTTTAGAAGTATATATACGTGTATATATATAT